TGCTACTTGCCATGAGTTTTAGAGGAAGGTTAGTTGCAAATGCTACTTGTCATGAGTTTTAGAGGAAGCTCGTTGCAATTCCTACGTGTCGGGAGTATCTCAGGAAGCTTCACTGCAATTGCTATTTGTCTTGAATTTATGAGGAAGGTTTCGTTGCAATTGCTACTTATGTTGATATTTCGAGGAAGGTTTCGTTGCAATTGCTACTTGTCTTGAGTTTCTGAGGAAGGTTTCGTTGCAACTGTTACTTGTCTTGAGTTCCTGAGGAAGGTTTCGTTACAATTGCTACTTGTCTGGAGATTTTTGAGCAAATTTTCGTTTCAATTTCTAGCTTACAAGAGTTTCTGAGGAAGGCTTTCTTGTAATTGCTACTTGTCTTGAGTTTCTGAAGCAGGTTTAGAAATTCTGAGGATGGTTTCGTTGCAATTGCTACTTGTCTTGAGTGTCTGAGGCAGGTTTCGTTGCAATTGCAACTTGTCTTTGAGTTCCTGAGGAAGGTTTCGATGCAACTGTCGTATGACGAGTCGCATGTCTCCTCTCTTCGTGCTCGTAGGGTTTGGTGAGGCCCGAGAAGTTTGTCGCATGTCCCCTCCCTTCGTGCGAAGTGTGAGGGCCCTAGAGGTCTTGAAGAGCCCATGCCTCGGAGCCTCGCGTGGCAAACTTCTCCTGGCAAGTTGGCCACTAGTTACCTACGATGAAAAAATCTGCGCTGGTAACGTAATCGTGGCTCTGCAAGGGTTGTGAATGCCCCCAAAAAGGGTGTCTTAAGCAAATGTTTATCTATTTGTGGAAAGAACTCCTCTGGTGTTCCAAGAACCTTGATAGCCGTTTTAGAGTTGCAACTTTGCTTGCTCCGGGCAACGTCTCTACCTATGTCTTTCCCAACGTTTGCACTTTCAGAGCACTGCAGAGGTAAAAGCATATCATTTGGAGGTTTGTCGTGTGTGCCCTCTCTTCGTGCTCGTAGGGTTTGGTGAAGGCGTTAGAAGTGTGCCGCATGTCCCCTCGCTTTGTGCTTGAAGGGTCCATGCCTCGGAGTCTCGCGTGGCAAACTTCTCCTGGCAAGTTGGTCATTGTATGGGGGAGAGGGGGGAGCTCTGGCGCGAGCTATTTGGTCATCAAGGCGCAGATGGGGCTAGTTGCTTACTTGTACGATGCAACCGAATAACCTGTGATGGTAACATAATTGTGGCGTATAAGGTTCTTGAATATGCCCCTGAAATCATTAACCCTTTGCCCCTAAAAGAAGGTGGTTTGGGCAAATGTTTATCTCTTTGTGGGGAGAGCTCCTGTGGTGTTCTGCTTTGCAGAACCGAGCGTACTCAAATAGCACCCAAGTTTTGGAGACCGAGCGTTTCAACTAGCATCATCCTGCTTTGCAGGACTGAGCGTACTCAAATAGCACCCAAGTTTTGGAGACCGCGCTTTCAGAACACTGTAGAAGTTATTAACATATCCCTTAGAGGTTTGTCAAATGTCCTCCTTCGTGCTCGTAGGGTATGGTGGGGGCCCTCGAAGTTTGTCGCATGTCCCCTCCCTTCGTGCTGGCAGGGTGAGGGCCCCGAGGTTAGGCGTGAAAGCCCTAGAATCATAACGTGCTTGAAGGACCCGCGTGCGAGGTTTGAAGCTTTCAGAGAGGCCTCTTGGGGGGTTGGTCCTTGTGCGAGCGAAAAGACTGAATGTGTTCAACTAGCATCCTGCTTTGCAGGACCTACCGTACTCAAATAGCGCCCAAGTTTTGGGGACCGCACTTTCACAACACTGTAGAAGTAAAACATATCTCGTACAGGTTTGCAGCGAATTCTTCTTCAGAAACTCAAGACAAGTAGCAATTGCAACGAAACTTTCCAGAGAATTTCAAAAAAATAGCAATTGCACCAAGACCTTCCTCAGAAACGAAAATCAAGACAAGCAACAATTGCAACGAAACCTCCTCAAAAACTCAAGACAAATAGCAATTGCAACGAAACCTTCCTCGGAAACTCTAGACAGGTAGCAATTGCAACGAAACCATCTTCAGAAATTCTAAACCTTCCTCAGAAACTAAAGACAAGTAGCAATTGCAACGAAACCTTCCTGAGTTTTCTAGATAGGTAGCAATTGCAACGAAATTCTCCTCAGAAACACGAGACAAGTAGCAATTGCAACGAAACCTTCCTCATAAACTCAAGACAAGTAACAATCGCAACGAAACCTTCCTCAGAAACTCAAGACAAGTAGCAATTGCAACGAAACCTTCCTCAACAATTCAACATAAGTAGCAATTGCAACGGAACCTTCCTCAGAAATTCAAAACAAGTAGCAATTGCAACGAAACCTTCCTCAAATATTCAAGACAAGAAGCAATTGCAACGAAACTTTCCTCAAAATTCAACATATATAAGTAGCAATTGCAACGAAACCTTCCTCAGAAACTAAAGACAAGTAGCAATTGCAACGAAACCTTCCTGAGTTTTCTAGATAGGTAGCAATTGCAACGAAATTCTCCTCAGAAACACGAGACAAGTAGCAATTGCAACGAAACCTTCCTCATAAACTCAAGACAAGTAACAATCGCAACGAAACCTTCCTCAGAAACTCAAGACAAGTAGCAATTGCAACGAAACCTTCCTCAACAATTCAACATAAGTAGCAATTGCAACGGAACCTTCCTCAGAAATTCAAAACAAGTAGCAATTGCAACGAAACCTTCCTCAAATATTCAAGACAAGAAGCAATTGCAACGAAACTTTCCTCAAAATTCAACATATATAAGTAGCAATTGCAACGAAACCTTCCTCAGAAACTAAAGACAAGTAGCAATTGCAACGAAACCTTCCTGAGTTTTCTAGATAGGTAGCAATTGCAACGAAATTCTCCTCAGAAACACGAGACAAGTAGCAATTGCAACGAAACCTTCCTCATAAACTCAAGACAAGTAACAATCGCAACGAAACCTTCCTCAGAAACTCAAGACAAGTAGCAATTGCAACGAAACCTTCCTCAACAATTCAACATAAGTAGCAATTGCAACGGAACCTTCCTCAGAAATTCAAAACAAGTAGCAATTGCAACGAAACCTTCCTCAAATATTCAAGACAAGAAGCAATTGCAACGAAACTTTCCTCAAAATTCAACATATATAAGTAGCAATTGCAACGAAACCTTCCTCAGAAACTAAAGACAAGTAGCAATTGCAACGAAACCTTCCTGAGTTTTCTAGATAGGTAGCAATTGCAACGAAATTCTCCTCAGAAACACGAGACAAGTAGCAATTGCAACGAAACCTTCCTCATAAGCTCAAGACAAGTACTAATTGCAACGAATTCGTCCTCAGAAACTCAAGACAAGTAGCAATTGCAACGAATTCTTCCTCAAAAAATCAAGACAAGTAATAATTGCAACGAACCTTCCTCAGAAACTCAAGTAATCCTGGCCCCCATAGAACCCATCCCCCTAAAATCTCCGACCAAAGAGCTCGCGCCGGGTTATGGAGCCACGACTACGTTACCAGCACAGGTTTTAAGGCGGTTTTTGACACGGTCGTTTCGCACAAAAAGAAACCACCCTCTTTTTGTGCGACCAGTCTGTGTCACAAACCGCCCAAAAATACCCGTGCTGGTAACGTAATCGTGGCTCCATGACCCGGCGCGAGCTATTTGGTCAGAGCGTGTTGCCCTGAAAACGTGTTTCAACGTGGTAAAACACCATAGATGTTTCCCCTGCGACCAAATACCAAATAGCTCGCGCCATAGCGCTTGCTATGCGCCCTGACACCGTACCAGCACGAAAGGAAGGGACATGCGACAAACTTCTAGGGCCCTCACCAAACCCTACGAGCGCAAAAGGAGGGCGACAAACCTCTAAGGGATATGTTTTCTTCTAAAGCGTTCTGAAAGCGACGTCCCCAAAACTTGGCTGCTAATTGAGCACGCTCGGTCCTGCAAAGCAGGATGCTAGTTGAACACGCTCGGTCCCCAAAACTTGGGTGCTGTTGAGTACACACAATCTTTTCGCACAAACAAGGACCAACCCGCAAGAGGCCTCTCTGAAACCTTCTAACCTCGCACGTTGGACCCTTCAAGCACGTTATGATTCGCGGACTTTCAGGCCGAACCTTGGGGACATGCGACAAACTTCTAGGGCCCTCACCAAGCCCTCCGAGCACGAAGAGAGGGGACATTCGACAAACCTCTAAGGGATATGCTATTACTTCTACAGTGTTCTGAAAGTGCCAACGTTAGGAAAAGCATAGGATGTTATGTTGCGCTTGTATAGAAGCTTTTCGCAGAGCAAGCAGAGTTGCAGCTCTAAAACGGTCATAAAGGCGGCTTTTGGAAACACAACAGGACCTCTTCCCACAAAGGGATAAACGTTAAACCACCCTCATGTCGGGGGGGGGCCTATTCATAACCCTTACAGAGCCGCGATTACGTTAGCACCGGCTGGGTGGATCTGGACCGTGGGAGACCACGGACCCAAACCGCGTGACACCCACCCAGCCCCTTATTCCGCTCATGATCGGAGACCATGGGAGACCACGGACCCAAACCGCTTGACACCCACCCGACCCCAATTGTGCTCATGATCGGAGACCATGGGAGAGCACGGACCCAACCGCGTGACGCCAATCTAGCCAACCCCGTGACACTTCTTTTCCTGTGGAAAGACCCCAAACGGTTCCTGTTTGGGAAAAAATCCTGTGTGAGGGGGGGGGGGACAATACAAGTTTCTATGACGCCCAGAAACATGTGCTGGTAACGTAATCGCGGCTCCACAACCCGCCAGGGGTTAAAACCCTAAGACGCCAAAAGCCTCTGATTCGCAACAAGTCTCTGATTCGCAGTTGCTGACTCGTAGCTTTTGATTCACAGGTCAGTTTCTGAGTTTTTTCTGACCTGACATGAGGGCACTTCGCCCATTTCACATCCTGCCCAAGGTTGTCTCCAAAACGGCTCTCTTCTCCTTCAACTATCCCAACCCCGAACTGCTCTCATAACACAAGTGTCTAAGGTTGCGACGCCTGTGTCTGGCTTCCCAAAACCAGCATTCGAAGTGCTGGCCCCCTCACCAGATGGTGCATGAAATCGGTTCAAAAGGTCCTGACGCGTGCCGGAAAATTGTACCCAGACACAGATTGTTCGCCTTGTGTGTATGTGTGGGCGCCCCCTTGCTCAAAGGCATCGTCAGTTCAGTTGTGGCAGTCCTCTTTCTCTGCGAAAAGATGACAACCTCAGCGGGCATCACTTGCGTTGTCTTCACTTCCTCCTTTCCCTCCTTTTTCCCTCCTCCCCCTTCGGGTGCTGGCAAAGCTCGGAAGCGCTGGAGGAACTGGAGGTGCTCGGCCTGCTGTTGCCAACAGATCCAGCTGAGGCTCTCTAATCGGAGACCTGAGGAGACTTCAATGGAGCGTAAGGCCCGGTCGCCACCCGCCGTAGACGAATGTGAACTTCATGGGGGATGTGACCACGAGCAAAGACAGCCACCTGCCATGGCCGAGGCTCTGCATTCCATGACCAACCTTTCGGAAAGCAACCCACACATCACATGCATCAATACGATCGCAAAGACGTGGCCTCATCTGGCAAGTTGGCAGAGACAGGAGCAACGTATGCCTTGCACGCGCGGCGCCTCTAACAATACAGGATCCCTCCTCCGCTAGCCGCCTAAAGAGACCCGAATGGCAACCAGGAGCCAAGATCCCAGAAATACTTACACTAAGACACCATGATTTCCCATGCACAGAGTATACGGAGGGCCGTCGCCTTGTGTAGAGAGCGACTTACTAGACACCATGAAGGGACGACTGAGGCATCATGAGGGCATTTTGAGGTTAACAGCAGGGGGCTTTAAAAGGGAGGTTTCACTCTTGCATTCAGTTTGGCCCTTGCGCTGTCTTGCTGTGGCGACACTCGGAACGGCTTTTGAACATCGACAGCTACTGACAAACAGACAGGAAAACATGTCCAGCCGAGATTTTACGAGGAACTCACTCGGACTGCCCTTCCAGGGACTTTTGGGAGTTTTAGCTCCTCAGGGGATGGGAGGCCGGTACGGCATGGATTATTAAGAGATGTTACGAGCGCAGTCAATGTTCTAGCGGCTGGTTGTTCAATGATCACCATGTGCACCGAGGCAAGCGCCATGGTCACATCAACCAGCACCGGAGGTTTCGACTGAAGCTCCTGTACTGAACAGCTTTGAGAGGTGACTGCAGCGCGCGTCCAGTTCAAGAAATGTGCTTCCTTAGCAGCATCTTGCAAGGCTTCCCACGCCGCAACGAACCCTGCTGTCCGTGGATGGAGCACCTCACCAAGAATTCGGGGAGCTGATCGAGAGACATTGGCTGTTTACGTTGCGCAGCTCTGTTAGTGCCGGACCTGGGTGTAAATCTGCAAGCCTTCTTTTTGAGCATAGCTTTGGCTCTTCTCCCTGCCACATCCCGCTGCGTCACCCAGCTACATGGACACGCAGGGTAATCGGGCCCGCGGCACAGATTCGACTTGCTCAGATCAGTACCCTGGCATGACGGCACAGAATTCAAAGCAGTCACTATGCTTCCCGGCACCCCAGCAATGCGCACTGCAAGAGTACGCACGGCGCACTGCAAGAGCACGCACGGCAGGCGCGAGGTCCAAGTATGACTTTCATGAAACACCTAGCGACCTGTGCCGGGTGTCCTGGACCTTATGAAGCCCAGCAAGCGTACCCCGAACATGCGGCCAGAACATGCCAGAACCCCACTCCCCTCCATGTCCTCGGGGAACAGTAGCAAGGCCAACTTTCCGCGACCACCTGACCAGCAACAGCACGCTGGCACTCCGACGCCGAAAGGATCGATTGTCGCATATGACAGAACACAAAAACGATAAAGCGGCAGTTGGTTGAAGAGCTCAAGCACTGAGAATTGCTCAAGAGAAGTGTCGTGTCACTATCATGTCGTTGAATCGTTGTCTTTGAAGCACCGAAGCCCAACTACTAAATGGCCGCACCCAGAGGGAGGGAGGGGCGGGAGGGAGGGAGGGGGCGGGAGGGCGGGAGGGACGGAGGGAGGCGCGCCTCCCCATCCTATGAATCGATAGCTCGCACTTGTTCAAACCTTGTCTGGCCCTTCAGGCCCTACCTGCTTCAGCACAAAACCAAACTCAAGCCTAGCTCCGCTAGCTTTCGTGATTGCACCGCAATCATGCTGGATCTGCTCTGCGTGACACGTTGAAATGCATCAGGTATTACCTATTGGCACCTGAGGTAAATATACTGGCACCGCGAACATTGTTCTCAGCAGCGCACCACTCTGGGCACAAACGCTTCGCAGAACGTTTAGATCCGCTTCCCGGTCCCGCCGGCACCTGGCCCATGATGCGAAACACCACAAGGCACGTGCCGGACAGAAGCGCGACACAAAACATGCAGGCAGATCATGAACGGGTATGCGAAGCATTGCCTCAGCAGAAAGTACACGGATGAAATGGCGTTTACTGCTGCCAGCCATGCCACAAGAAGTGCGTCGATTCAGCTTTGGCGTGTGCAGAAAGAGTAGCTAGAGGGCTTACATTTCGAAGCTTGCTGGAGGCGAGACATCGACGACGCTACGGAAAGTTTGAACCTCTTGATACGAAGACGTGGAGGCAAGCAGCTCCTAGGTCCTAGCAGCTAACCGTGAGAACGATGTCAATAGAAGTCGCTTCAGAATGGCCCACTTTGTGCCACAAGCAAACCGGCAGCATGGCAGCGCGACTGCGTGTCATGCCATGTCAATGGGCGACATGTCTGCAAGTCAGGACCAGGCACGGCCCATCCAAAGCCTGCTGATGACAACAGGCTGTGTCATGCACAGGGTTCTTGTATGCTCTTGTGAACAGCATCTCCGACTACCGTCCTGGTGCTGCTCTCAGGTTGTCCTACGTGGCAGTGATTCGTGGCACGCACGTGCTGAGAATATCCTCTGACGAGTGAGTGGGCAGAACCCGGTCCTTGAGCACGATCTTAAGGCCAGATAGACGTCCCAGAGCCGAAGCCAGGGCCCACAGAAACATCCAATCCAACCTGCCATCTTGAACGTGGCATAACATGGGAAAAGCAAAGGACAAGCACACTCAACTCGAAGGCATGGCCGACCGTGTAGGGTGGTTGGAGATCAAGAGCAGGTCGCCCTAATCACAGCGACGCATGCAGAATTCACCAAAGTCCACCGAGTCTCCTGGCAGCCCCACTACACCAAGTCCGCCTGCGCAGCCCAGGTGTCGAGCTCCCCATCGCCTGAAGCAGTCATCGCAACGAAAACAACAAGTCTCACTGTTGGATCTCTCATGTTAAAGCCGTTGGGGCCGGACACGCATGGATGAGGATGCGTGTTCGTAAGACACACCGAAGGCAGAACACTGCCAGGCCGAACCACGCGGCCTGCATGTGACTCTTTCCCACGACACTTAGCCCTTAGCTGCCTGGGCTCGCGCATGTGACGCACGCACGCTGTTTCACGGAGTGCCACATTTTGCCGCCAAGGACTGAATGCCTGGCACCAGGATGCGATGACGCAAAAAAGTCCCCGGGCAGTCGGACTTGGCAGAAGCAGCAAAGGCAACGCCTCGGCGATTTGAAAAAAAGAAGTTCACACATGATGTCACGACGTGAAAACTGAGAGCCTTGCGGGCAGTAAGACAATGCAGCATGTAAGAATTGACCTTGCTCTCAGCGAAACCGTGTCTCAGGCTGTGGTTATGGCAGTTATGCAGGATGAGCGTGACCACCGCAAAACTGAACCAAGGCACGTCTGAAACCACAGCAACAGTACCTGTCATTGCCGACACTGCAAGCACAAACACAAACACGCAGCGCAAGCTTCTACAAGCCTGTATCGAAACATCACATCTTTGCTTAAACAACATGCAAGGCCACACACCAAGCTGCCACACATTGATGCAAAGGCGCCGCAGTTGTCATGTCTTGCACATGTCGCGTCTAGATTTGACCAATCACTAAGCAACAGCCATGTTGACCCTTTGCCCACGTGCGCTCAACAGTTCTAAGGTCAAACAGCTGCCGGGCGCAACCACAACTGTCAGGCTTCATTTCGCGATGGATGGGTTTAGGGGTCAGGGTTAGAGGTTGTAGGGTTCAGGGCTCAGGCTGCTCTGCCACTTGCCTTTTTTGCTGTTTGGTGCATCAGCTCGTCTGCCCGGCTCATATCTTGGCCTGAGTGCAACGACTTGCTGTTAACAGAGATATGACGCGCATACCCTGTCACATCGAAGGTGTACCACACACACACAACCTGACACCAGACCAGAAACCTGTTCCTTTCCATGCATGCCCAGATTCTCGTGACCGACTCTCGTAACATTGGGCACAGACTAGCACCCAGCACAGTCCTTTCTGTGAGTCTTGTAATGGTTATAGACTATAGATGTTCTGCTTTAGGGGTAGGGTTAGCTGTGGTTAGCTGACAAAAGCACAACATTTAGTTCCAGAAACCTTCCAAATGCGATGGCTTCACATTTGCCCGGAGTCGCCTGTTCAGCTGCAGAAAAGCTCTTGCAACTTTGCATCCGCCGACGCTATGGCCTTGGACAGACACGATGTGAGCTATGCAACGCTACACCACTTCTGTTTCTGTCGTGAGGAAGAGAACGGCCAGGTCAGCAGCTTTCATTGCTTCGCGCGTGGCCTGTTCGGCTGCTTTCCTTAGCCAGGCACGGCACACCAGAGGGGCCCCGCTTGTACATCCGCACGCTCACCCAGCAGCCCTTGGCTAGGCCAAACCTCGAAGCTTATTCGAGCGTCTTGGCTTCAGCAAGGGACTTCTTCTTGTCTGCCTCGCCATCCCGAGTTTAAGAAGTTACCTACCTGTGGAGGATATGCAGCCGTCAAAACTCGACCGAAGCATGGGAGGTTCTCTGAACTATGGTCCAGGTTCTGTTTTACTGCGGAGCCTTATCTGTAGGGTACCCAAAACGGACCTCATAAGCTAGAGAATCTCCCAACAAAGGAAGATGCAAATTACGCAAGCCCGCCGACCTTTGCATCCTCTGCGGCCTGTTTTGCTTCGTATGCCTCCTTGGCCTTCCTGGCAGCCTGACGACACCGTGCATTTGAGCTTGCCTTGAGTCATGTTAGGAGGGAGTCGGCCTAAAAAGTCTCTATTCTTGCAATTTCGCAGTCTTGCCTTCTTTTCGGCTGCCGCACGAGCTTCTTCCGCTGTCCTTACGCACTCTTCCCTTGGCAGGTTGGACGCTTGGGGTGCATGAACCGTTCGGCTCCTTAGCATGAGGACACGTCCCAACCACGACTGTCTCCAGCTTGCCGCACACGAATCTCACGACAACGGAATTTCAATCCACATGCCCTGAAGCTCGTCAGCTGGTCCCTTGCAGGCTGGCTTCGACTTTTGCTGGATCAACTTCTTCTCTTTGTGGCTGTTCTGAACACAGGTGAGGTATGTCACCACACTCGATGCCAACGAGTCTCAAAGACCATCATCACAGCTACATGCAAAGCTGCTCGTGACATCGAAGGCCTCAAGGGCAGCGGTCAGCTCCTCAACTTCTTGGCTCAAGGATGCTCAGGGACACGCCAGCACAACCTTCAACATGCAAGGGAAGCGAATTCCAAACCTACTAGCAATGGCTGAGGGCTGCTGCTCTTCAAGCTCGCTTCGAGAACTTGGAGTTCTTGCAACAGCTGCTCGTTCTGGCTCGTGGAGACCTGCTTTGCAGGTCTGAAGAAACATGCAATTGCCACTTCGAGCCTCCCCACCCTGTCCCTAAAACCCAATTGCGAGGAATTACATTCCGGCCCGTCCCTGGCTTGCCTATTCAGGCAACGTTTCGGCACAGTTGGCTGCCTTATCATGGGCGGGGCCCCCGCCAGGCGGGGCCCGCCAACGAAAAAAACACGAAAAAAACGCCGCAGGCAGGGACCGCTGGCGCGGACCGCTGGCGGGGACCACTGGCGGGGCCCGCTGCCCAACTGGAATTGTAAGAGGGTAATTTGATTTCAAAAGACTGCCTTTTTGGCCAAAGGCTCCAATATCCCTTGATCTGGGGTTTCTTCTAAAATTGCATTAGGGGCCCAAGAAAAATCTACGGAACACGGCATGAACAGATGATACGTCCATTAAGCCAGTTCTTAGACCCTGGATTCCTCGAAAGACTTCTTGTGACAGGTGCGCTCTTCACGACTCAACAGATTAACTCCTAGAGACAGAGGTTATAAGGACTCAAGATATGAAGGTACCAACCAGCCCGGACAGTAGATCTTGGAGTCATGAGTGTTGTTACTGTCACACCTTGAGACCCTAACAAAAGACCCTGGATTCCTGGCTCTTGGTCTTATTGCTGGTTCACTGGTTTCGAGGGGTTCAGAGAGCGGTTAACCTTTACTTTTCCTTTCGTACACCATCAATCTCATGACACCTTAAAACCTTAACCACTTGTGGGTGGCCGCTGTAACGGAAACTAAAAAAGGTTGTAACGGAAACAAACGGCAAAATGTAGCGGAAAGCAAAAAAAATGTAACGGAAACAACGGCCCGGCGAGTCGAAACAATGCGCGGCTGTAACGGAAACCAAGCAAAACTGCAACGGAAACCAAAAAGAGATGTAACTGAAATCACGGAAAACTTAAACCGAAACCTACAAAAACCGGCTACGGAAAGGCGCACCAGAAGGGCACGGCTCTGTTTTTGGGCGTAACAGAAACTACCTGCCTAAGCGAGAAAGTACAGCCACAGGCAGGTAGGGCTGATGCATCCAAGCGACCTTGACCAGCAACACTTGCAACTGCTCAGAAGGCTCAGCAGCAGTAGGACGTCGGCCGGCGCCCACACCATCCCGCGTCACGCAGCAACACTGCTGCTGTAAACCCCGCTGAACTCAAACTGCCGTCGAAGTTTCACCCGACTCCAGAAGCTGTTAAGCATTCAAGGTGGAGGCTTCGGCGCGATTAGAGAAGCCCAGCAAACTCTGAACATCTGAATCCCTCCCCCCCCCCACCCCCCATGGAAATTCAGGCTTCTAGGCTTTATTTGGTTTAGGCTTCAGTGTTTAGAATGGAACTTCAGGCTTTTAGGTTTTATTCGCTTCAGGCTTGAGTGTTTTTGGAATTCTCGGCAACAAGCGAAGGGGTCCGGGTACATGGGTTTGGCTTGGAGCTGGCTAGCTTCCGGCAGCGTAGAATACCGTGGCCCCAGAGCTAGTCCGTGGCACCCTGATCCTTCCTGTGGCTGTAGTTTCTCGCTTAGGCAGGTAGTTTCTGTTACGCCCCGACGCCGTTTCTGTAACGCCCCGAAGCCAGTTTCCGTTACGCCCTTTCGTAGTTTCTGTGTCGTTTTCAGGGGGGCAGTTTCCGTTACAACCCGCCAATTTCCGTAACACACTTTCCTCACCACTTGTACGTCCTCTATTCACCTCTATCTCCCAAAGAATCCCCTCTTTGACCCTTTATGATTGGTTTTATAAGGAGTGAAAGGACGCATGAAAACCAATCATGAAGGGCGCAAAGGGGGGCTTGTAGGACGGTAACAACAATATGATTAAGGGCTCCAAGTTCGTGATTCGTTCATTCAATCTGGTCTAGTTTCCTGGCTCATGATGTCACGGCCCTTTGGTTGGTTGGCTTTGTATCTAGCGGTTAGACCAAGAGTGAAAAGAGGACATCCTTTAATACCGTGTGTCCGCAGCTCAGAAGTTAGGTTCATTGGTCCAGAGACGGCGGTTATAATGTAATGAATGAGCCCTCATGGTTGACCTTGAGAATTTAGTATTATGGTTCAGGGAGTGAATGGTTAACCTGTGATAGAGAACATGAACTAGACCCTGAGATTGAATGGCTTGGAAACAGAGGTTGGGTCTCAAGGTGTGATGGGTGTGACATGAAGGAGATAAAGGGGAAAGAGGTTACGTTCATACCAGTGCACCCACCATTCACTTGTGGGAACGGTCTCAATGATGTGGGCGGTTAAGGGCTTACTGAGAGGTGCGGTCATAAGGTACGTCCCAAAGGTCTGTCCGGAGTGTATGGTTAGAGCTAGAGAGTTAATGGTTAACCTTTAGAAAGAGGGCTCATGGGGGTCCGTGAATCAAGAGTGAGGAAGTGACCGCCCGGATGAATGAGTCTTGGAGATCATGATATTAACTCTGTGGGGAATGAGTCTAGAGAACATGTGGATGATACGGTTGTTGTGGGGGCTCTTTCTCCAGGTGTGTCCATAAGCCTCAATATTAGTACTAGCGGTGAGACTCAGCCCCAGATCAACCATTAACAGGAGCTAGAGATAGAGGGCGGGGTTCTTTGGGGCGGCTTCTAAAGGCGTGACAGAGAGCACTTCATGAGCCAGGAATTCTCTTGTCAAGGGTTATTCACTGAATGATTGGTCCAACAAGAGCCCAGATTGCGAGGTGGAAAGCGTGAATATGATTAAGGGCTCCAAGTTCCAGGATGATACGGTTGTTGCGGTTGGAGAACGCACAATTAAGGGTTAACCTGTGAATGATTGAGGGCTCAATGGTCTAGTTTCCTGGCTCATGATGTCTGGTGGTTACCTTCACACCTTGTCAATCATTCACACGGGATAACATGCTATTATTATTGACTCGCGAGTGAATGAAACCAGACAAATGATTCACTACTTGTTGGACCTGTCACTCAATGGTCTAGTTTCCTTCACACGGGGGCATGATTCACGCCCTCATGATGTTAAGGGGTTTTGGAGAGGTTAGTGGTTAAGGTCTAAAGGTGTAACAGAGGTTAGTGCGGGCTCCAAGATGAAGAGGGCTCCAACTAGACGGGCGATTACAAAGGTGAATCATCTGTCTTGTTATGCGTCCGTTCTCTCGGGACCAATGAACTCCAAGACACATGATTCCAGGATCTCAAGGTGTGATGGGTGCTGCGGTTGGACTGGTCTCTAAGCCGGTTAGTAACTCAAGACATTAAGACTCAGCCCCAGATCAACCATTAACAGGATATTGGATGGTACGGGCTAGCTCTTGGGCAGTTAAGGTGTCATGAGATTGATGGTGCGGTGTGAGTGAATTAGTACCAAGATCCGGAAATGGCCAAGAGAGTGAGATGGTACGGCTGGTGTGGATTATACAGGCAGTCAAGGTGGTCACAGCCTTAATATTGGATGGAAAGGTCTCAAGGTGTGATGGGTGCTGCGGTTGGACTGGTCTCTAAGCCGTGTATTACCAAGAGACGAAGGTTTAATGGGTGATGTGGGTGACAGGTGAGTAATGTGCTCTCTTGGTAATTCACGGACCAATGCACGAATCATCCAAAAGGCCGTGGAGAAGATGTACAGGCAAAGATCTCGGGCTTTATATATACCAATCATATAATGGGGGAAGAAGGCTAGCGGCTAGCAGTGCTATCCTGGAGTTCTTCGCCTTTGACGCACCTTGGGATGGTTTTTTATCGGGTCGGGCTCGAGACTCAACCCCTAAACCCTAAACCCTAAACCCTAAACCCTAAACCCTAAACCCTAAACCCTAAACCGTAAACCTGAACCCCTAAACGCTCAACCCTCAACCCTCAGCCCTAAACCCTAAAACCTGAACCCCTAAACCCTCAACCCTAAACCAACAGCCACAAAACCCTGAACAACAGTGCTCGGCTTTCGGCTCAGGAAAGGCCTCGGCCAACAAAAGACAACCCCTCAACCAACCTTTGACCCAACACCCTAAAACCTTAAACCCTGAAACGCTAAACCCTAAAATTCCTAAAGCCTCAAAGCCCTAAACCCTAAAGCGCAAAACCCTTAAACCCTCAAACCCTGAAACCTTAAGACCCTAAAACCCTAAAACCCTAAAAGCCCCTAAAGCCTCACAGCCTAAAACCTAAAGCACCTTAGATTCAGATGCCTTCGGAGGCTTTGGGGCACGAGCGCAGAACAGCTCCAAAGTGCAGAGGTTGCAGGTTTAAGGGTTTCGGGATTTTTGGGCTTCTAGGGGTTTTAGGGTTTAGGGTTTGGGGGTTAGGGTTTGGGCTTGCGGGTTTCTAGGGTTAAGGGCTCAGGGCAGGTCTCTTGCTACAAGGTGTCTGTTTGTGAAAGTCTGTAACCCTAAACCCTAAACGCTAAACCCTAAACCCTTCAGAGCCTGAAGACATCGCGGAGGAGCCGCGTCGGAGATGTAGACCTGGCAGGTGGAGTAGGATTTAGGGTTTAGCGTTTAGGGTTCAGGGTTTAATGTTTAGGGTTCAGGGCTTAAGGTTTAGGTTTAGGGTTTCGGGATACGATTGCCTTAAAGCCTGCCAGCCCGCTCCCTTGATTTTTGGGTGAGCGTAGGCGGCCTTGTCAAGGTCGCCGTTTGGTCTCGAAGCAACAGGGATACTGCAGGCTGAGTACAGCGTTGGGACTTCAGGGTTGTGCGAGGTTTGCTTTTGGTATCCTACGAAGGCACCCTGGCTCAGAAAATGCACGCGCGCATTCTCTGCGGTAGCACGGCACCAAGGCGAATCAAGGATGCCGCATGGAACGATTCCCACAAACTCCTGTCTGTAACCTTCAAAAACACGGACAACATGCCCGGAAAGCATTCGCCGCAGCTGCGCGGCGCGAGAAACTTCGACCAGCCATGCGCTGGAGGGCAAGCGTGTTTCCTTGAACATGCACGGCGTGCTTGCGTCTGGTCATGAAGTTCTATGTAGTCGTGGCGGCTATGGGCCCCTCAAAACCGGAACTGTCGTTGATGCTAGGGCGGTTCTGAAAGCAGTGGTGCTTCAAAACGGCTTCTGCCACGAAGCTTGGATCTGCAGCGAACTCAAGCCCGACTTTCCAGAAACAGTGGCAGTCTTGGTAGTGAACTGTCCGAACCCTACAAGCCATTGTCCCCGACCCCCATAGGTTTCCAAGCTTCAAGGTAACAAGCACGCATGATGGCATAATCACACACACCTTCGCTTACGGACTGATTGCGTCAAGCTGAATCTCGAAAATGCCAACGGAGCCTAAATGTAATCAAACCCATTCCGATCATAACTTTTCTAGCCCGAGCTCGGTTCAGTGCTACGGAAAACTATGCAACCCCCTGCCCACACAACACATTGACCCCCAAACGCAATCTTTTGGCGCAGTCGACGGCGCGAGCGTGTGGAAAATTCGCCTCATCCAGATCGCTGGCCTGGCTAGAGCATGTTGGGATGTTTATAAGGTTGAGGCTGGGGTTGGGCCAAAAGTGCCCAAGCCCCCCTACCTGACCCTAAAGCCTAACTCCTTCAGCGAAGATGTGTCGAGCCCTACACCTCCAAAGGAAAAGTGGCAGGGTCCAGGGTCTAGGGCGTTTAGGACATCCTAACTAACTCCAAACCAAACTATCAGCCTTATCAGCCTGAATTTACTTCGGACCCCGATAGCAGTGGCCAGCCCAAGCCCTCCCTTCCTTTTGGCCGCCTTAAAACTAGGGTCTTAATGGTGAAAAGGTTAAAGGTACGAAATAGTAAATTAATGAACGAAGTGAATACAACTAATGACTTCCTTTTTCTCCTTTAATATTGTATCCTATTTCGAACTACTAAAGGAAGTCAATTAGTAATAAAATAATAGTGTGAATGCAATGAACACGCCCATTAAAAATTAATAAAACGTAGTACACGCAGTTCTTACTACGTGATGAGAATTCCTAATGAATGCATGTGCTCTAAAGATAGGTGGTTAAGGGTGTAATACAAGAGCAACGGGCCAAGCTCTTCGACTGCATGCACTTAGCTGATGCTGCTTGGGACGCCGCCAAGTTCTTGCAACAACTGGAGCAGTGCATGTGCTACCTGCACGAGTCTCCCCGTTCTCTCCGGTGTGGATGACAGCATTCAAGCTCACCACGTCGGCTTGGGATGAGAAGACGTAGGCGGATCTTCCCAAACCACAAACCGTGCCAAACATCACTGAGCTCAAAACGCGGGCGCAAAGAGCTTATGGATAGCTGCCCCATGTTTACAAGGGTGTTCTGGGTTTGGTGGCTTCGCTGTCCAGGGCTTACTGGAGCCGTGGCAGAACTCTCCACTTCTGTTAAACTTCAAGGTTCAATGTCTAGGGTCTCTTTGGATCTGGGTTCATCCACTGCTTACCAAAGCCTTTCTTTCGACTCCGAGTTTCGAGCATCCCATTTGAGCCATGGTTTTATTTGACGAATAGAATTCTGAAGCCCTTCCACGGAACCCTTCCGCGACATTTACATTCAGACATATGAGATTTGGAAGGCTTTAGGTCAAGAAATCAGGTCTTCAAGACATGCTGCTGCGCAAGTCTACTGCCTTGAAGATATTTCCAGATCGGTGCCCCACCGGACACAGGTACGGATGTTTGGGGTCTAAGATTCCGGCTGGAGCTATTGCGGCAGGGGATCTTTGGAGCTCTCCGTGGGCCTTTTATTTCAGACTCCGTGAGCGCCCAAAAAAAATGCGCGGCTCCTTTGGGAAATTCATGAACTACAGACAGTGAAAGCCTTTCGCACCGACGTTGTGGACAACAAGCGTGCGTTGACCAGTCCCAATGTTGACCAGCCCCACCCAAAGCCTTTCGCACCAACGTTGTGGACGACAAGCGTGCGTTGACCAGTCCCAATGTTGACCAGCCCCACCCACAGCCTTTCGCACCGACGTTGTGGCCAACAAGCGTGCGTTGACCAGTCCCAATGTTGATCAGCCCCACCCAAAGCCTTTCGCACCGACGTTGTGGACAACAAGCGTGCGTTGACCAGTCCCAATGTTGACCAGCCCCCCAATTCCTTTCGCACCGACGTTGTGGACAACAAGAGTGCGTTGACCAGTCCCAATGTTGACCAGCCCCCCAATGCCTTTCGCACCGACGTTGAGGACTACAAGCGTGCGTTGACCAGTCCCAATGTTGACCAGCCCCCCAATTCCTTTCGCACCGACGTTGTGGACAACAAGCGTGCGTTGACCAGTCCCAATGTTGACCAGCCCCGCAATGCCTTTCGCACCGACGTTGTGGACAGCAACCGTGCGTTGACCAGTCCCAATGTTGACCAGCCCCCCAATGCCTTTCGCACCGACGTTGTGGACAGCAACCGTGCGTTGACCAGTCGCTTGACCGTTGTGGACAACAAGCGTGCGTTGACCAGTCCCAATGTTGACCAGCCCCACCCAAAGCCTTTCGCACCGACGTTGTGGACAACAAGCGTGCGTTGACCAGTCCCAATGTTGACCAGCCCCCCCCAAAGCCTTTCGCACCGACGTTGTGGACAACAAGCGTGCGTTGACCAGTCCCAATGTTGACCAGCCCCACCCAAAGCCTTTCGCACCGACGTTGTGGACAACAAGCGTGCGTTGACCAGTCCCAACGTTGACCAGCCCCACCCAAAGCCTTTCGCACCGACGTTGTGGACAACAAGCGTGCGTTGACCAGTCCCAATGTTGACCAGCCCCACCCAAAGCCTTTCGCACCGACGTTGTGGACAACAAGCGTGCGTTGCCCAGTCCCAATGTTGACCAGCCCCACCCAAAGCCTTTCGCACCGACGTTGTGGACAACAAGCGTGCGTTGACCAGTCCCAATGTTGACCAGCCCCACCCAAAGCCTTTCGCACCGACGTTGTGGACAACAAGCGTGCGTTGACTGGTCCCAATGTTGACCAGCCCCACCCGAAGCCTTTCGCACCGACGTTGTGGACAACAAGCGTGCGTTGACCAGTCCCAATGTTGACCAGCCCCACCCAAAGCCTTTCGCACCGACGTTGTGGACAACAAGCGTGCGTTGACCAGTCCCAATGTTGACCAGCCCCACCCAAAGCCTTTCGCACCGACGTTGTGGACAACAAGCGTGCGTTGACCACCCCCAATGTTGACCATCCCCCCACAGCCTTTCAAAATGCTCAAAATATGAAAATGATGAGTTTGAAGGTTTCCAAGGGCACCAAACAAGCGAAAATCCCTTTCAGGAATCTCTTATATATAGGGTATATTCCTAAATCAAAGGTGTTTGGGCTCTTTGAGCAGCTTCAGATTTTGGGCAACGTGATTCCATGATCTTGAGTCGCGCTCGGCGGGTTCATCCCCCCCCCCCATTTTTGTCAACCTGGGCTCACTGCTGCGCCCTTTCGAGACCCGCTCCCGGGGTTTAGGGTTTAAGGTTTAGGAACGTCTCAAACCTTAAGCCCTGCATTCTATCCTCTCTCAGAAGGAAAATCCCACTTAATGTGGGTGGCTCTGCATCGGTAAAGACTTAGAGCTGAAGGCTTGGCCCTTTCTGCGTCTTCGGGCGTTTGTCCCGCTGGTATGGCCTGGATAGGAGGCGGCCCCGGCACGCCTGTGCAGCATAGATATAGACATAGACATAGACATAGGCATAGACATAGACATAGACATAGACATAGACATAGACATAGACATAGACATAGACATAGACATAGACATAGACATAGACATTAGATATAGATATAGAAATAGATATAGATATAGATATAGATATAGATATAAAGATAGATATATATATATATGTATATACATATATATATCGTTATGTTTTACTATAATTATACAAAATCGTCTGTCTCTTCACTCTCTCACACACACATATACATATGTGAATGTCTATATATATATATATGTTTATACATAGTGTTTACGTTATATGATATTCCCCTATAAGGGTCCATTCACCTATCTTTGGTGTATATTTGGGCCTTACAGGTAGTTGCTTTAGGGCCCAAGAACATATCATACAGGTACATGGACCGCTGGGTTAACTTTGGGATTATATAGGGATTATAATACCCCCAAAATGGCTACTAAAGGTCACCTACTCTACTACTAAGTCTATCTTGTACTACAACACATTGCCCTAAAGGCCCATGTACAATATTATTCCATACTTGGGCCTCAAAAGTCCCTATACAGGAGGTACTTTAAGGTCCAAGTATTGCCTATTTAGGTACCTGGACCCTCTTGGTAACCCAGTGGTAATATTATGGTAAGGGGTGCCCTTTTCTGGCTTGGCTTCTTTTATGAGGGAACCTTGACCCAAAAAAGAGCAGAAGGGTACCACTGGCCTACCAAGCCCTCAAGGTTAAACCGAGGCCATGAATTCCTCGGCGTAGCTGCTGTATGTCACAAGCAAAGTCAAACACCACGGCCAGGCCCTAAACCCTAAACCCTAAACCCTAAACCCCAGACCCCAAACCCTAAACCCTAAACCCACAGCCTCGTGGCTCCAAACCAGGTGGGGCCCCGATGCCAAACCTCGGGCTTGCAGGCCAAGGGAGTTTCGGAAAGGGGATAGGGGTTAGGGGTTAGGGTTTAGGGTTTAGGGTCCTTGCGGGTTTAGTTGTGGGTGTGGCTTTGTGTCGTAATTTACAGGGTTTCTTGGTTGCCCGTTTGGAAATATTTATTGGAAGCGTTCGGTGTGCAGTTTGATTTGAGGCTGACGGCTCAGGTGGTTGAAAGTTGATGGAGACCAACACGACAACCGTGTAGGTTGTTAAAGATGGTAGACATTGTCTGGGATATCATTGGCGAGCGTACAGTTTAGCACAACATGGTATACATTGGTTCCATATCATTGGCAATACTTTTGGGTTCGCAGCGGGTGAGCCGCTGCAGCACTACGCGGAAACTTCTCACTTTCTTGTTGCAGCGAGAGGCACTGACAGGCTAACATGCCATGAATAGTGTCAAGCCCCGAGGAGTCATAGGGGCGGACGGAACCGCCCTGCGACTTTACAAGAGACGCGGCCACAATCACTTCGTGGCATTGTGGGGCCTGGTGGAACGACCGAGATCTGCAGCCGCACCCCGAATGCTCGTCTATCTCGTTCCCGTCAAGAAAGTGTCTCCGAACAGCGTTGTCCAGTGCAGAGAAGACGTCCTAGGAGCAGAAGGCTTGAAGAGCATCCTGCCCTGTCAGCGTGGAGGACGTCGAGTTGAGAGCCTTCCCATAAGCGACGGAGCAAAAACTCTACGCAGGATTAGCAGAGGAACATGCCTTGAAACATGAGTTCGTGGTGCACAGTCGAGGAGCATGGTCCCGCGATCACAACTCGCGCTCCCACGGCAAGCTTAAGATCAACACAGGTCTCATCGACCAGCGTCGGTCAAACATCAAAGCCTACTTGCCGAAGAGTCTCACAGCAAGACCTGTGGGTGTATGTGTACTCCTACTGGTTGCGGGCACATTTTCCAGATGTTCATACACGCACGGCAATGATCGTGAATGATTTGAAAAGGGTCTGGCCTAAGCACGGTCAGAAAGCGGGGCATTGGCAGAATAGCCGACAGCGCTGCAGGGGCGCCTGAGGCAAGAAGCGGAATGCGTGTTCTGCGGACAGCGTTGTTGAGCAGCATTTGCTTGTCAAGCCCCCTCTTGCGGCGTACGCAGGTCGAGGGAAGGAAAGAAGACGAGCCCGTGTCGCCGACTGCATCGGAACTCAAGTGCTACATGGCACATGCTTTGGAAGAAACCAGGCTTCAGCTTGGCAGTTTGACATGAGGGAGTAATTGAAGAGGGTCAGGCGTCCGTTTTGCCGAAGTAGCGTAAGGAAGTCGCAGGGGGTATAGCACTGGAACACAGAACAGATGTTTTTTTTCTAGAAAAAATTGTTTTGCACATATATGTCCAATGTGTTAGGAAATGCCGTCGCCCTTGGATGCAGCAGACAGTCCATGGACCAAGCGCTACAAGCAATGGTACAGGATACAGGGCGAGAAGGTTGAGACAACTGCTAGGTGGCGAATTTTGATGGAGCAGTCAGCCAGACTGCAATGGAAGAGAAAGAATGCTTTTCAGAAGAGGATCATGCGGGACGTGGCCCGGTGGCCGCAGAAGCAGAAGACAAGAACCTGTTGCAGGCAGCTGCAGCAGGTCTTGCGACAGAAGGTAGCATGCCGCACGAGATCCACGTGGATGTGGACAGGAAGCAGAAGAGTTGCGGAACCAGGCTGTCCCATATTATATTATCATGAAAAACAGAAGAGGTTCAAATGGGGCGGCTGCAAACACCATCCGAAGAGAAGCTTGCAGCCACACGTGAGAGCTCCAGGAACCCAGCGAGGCAAGAGTGTTTTCAGATGCTCGCAGTTCTGGGCTCGTGGTTCCAAGCCAGAAGCAAAATGCTTCTTCAATGCACCATTCCCCAAAGCTTTGCTGTGCCATCTACTCTTCGTTGCAGATGTCCCTGGCGCGCAGGTTGTGCTAGCCGCTAGTGGAAGAAACGCATGTGTGGGGTGCTCAACCCCAGTACACCCCTGCGCAAGGATGACACGCATAGTCGCGACGAACATCGTAGCTCAAGCACCTATGACGACATTATGACGACGAGAGATGTTGGGGATGGGATTTGGGCGTAGATAGCTTTTGGGTTTTTGAGCCTTGGGCCCCTAGGAGTCCTCGAGATGTAGAATCCTCTAGATGATGTACCCCACAGTGAACGAGAAAGGCTCTCCCCAGCACCCACTAACTTTTCACTGGGCCTCGTAACCCTCATGACTCATAACCTCCAAGATAGGCACATTTAGAGAGACTTCAGAACCTCAGACAGCGAAGGCCAGCAAAACGTGAAAAACGCCAAAACGGGACATGTGTGAAGCGAGCCGAACAAAACAGAGGACGATGTCGAATTCACCACGCAGGCCAGCATTTTCAAGCTGCAGACACAGTCCAACCCGAAAAGCCATTACGGAAACGCGCGCGTTTTTCAGTATTCGACTCAGTAAGAAAAACGCAGCTACACAACAACGATGCGCGGCAAGGAACACAAACGAGACGCGTCGGAAAAATTGCGAAAACATCGCGCAGGATAGTGTTTTCAAGAAGGAAGCTAGTCCGCGAAGCAGAACAGCAAGAGAAAGAAGCAATAACATGCGAAAACACCACCCCCGCAAGTGAACCCGCTAGGCTTAGGGTTTAGGGTTTAGGGTTTCGGGTTTCGGGTTTAGGGTTTAGGATTAGGGTTTAGGATTTCGGGTTTAGGGTTTAGGGTTTAGGGCTTGAACGGCGGCCGCAGGTGCTGAATATTCTTCTGGTGCCAATGCCAAGTGGCTTTGGGGGTGGCTTCGGGATCACAGCCTCCAGCAATACAAGCGGCGAAGCTGAACTAAGTGCAAGAAAGTCTCGCCTACCCATGGACACACAACATTTGAAAGAGCCTCGGTAGGATGCTTTGCCTGTGGCGGAGCTGCCATCGACTTCTTTGGTGGGGGGGCCGGAGTGGCATTCTCCTGAGCCGGCAGGCTTCACCGTGTGCACAGTGGTGCAGTAAGTCTACAAATGTCTACAAGATTGAGGGCGTACCTTATCGTGCTGCACCACACATCCTTCTTGGCCACTCAACTTGGCCAATCGGTCGTCCCACTTCAGCGAGGAATGGGCCTGATGCGAGCGCAACACCAGCGGCCAGCGGGCAGTCTTGCAAAGTGTGCGAGCTATCGACATCTCGTGACATCTTTTGTGACACTTGGCGCCTCTACGGCTTCTGCGAGCTGCTCGGTGTCGCAGGCCCTCACCCGTTTGCCCGGCTGCGTCAGTTCTCGGAGCATGCCTTGGGAGTGCTCTCGCATCAAGGATCCCGGATCCCTGTCATCCCTGTCAAACCGTCAAGTCGCGTTGAGAGCCGAGTGGCTTGTTGGGAGCCACGCTTTGATGTTCAATGGTGGAAATTCGACCTACAGGTCAGGACGCAGAACACTGCAATCCATGTGCAAAGAGACCGGCACGCCGCTTAGCCGCTTAGGCGCCTTCTCTACCCCACGCAACCTCCCTTGCAGCCCAGTGCAGCGTTCGCCTGGGCTGCGCCGTCCACTTGTTCGAGGTCTTGGAGCACGATGCCCTCGCAACCGCAGGCATCCGCCAAGCGGTCGTCCCACTTCAGAGCCTGGGGTTCTGCTCAGCTCAGCTTGCGCCTGAAGGATCCCACTTAAGGCGGCTCTATGACGGCCTGTACAAGGCGGCCGAGGGGCGCTATGTGCTTCCACTGCCGGCTTCAGCTCCTCCAGCTTTGCAACCATCACAGTCCTCATGGGCCTCAAGAATCGAAGAGTTGCGCCATTGCGAGTTCCACCCCAGACAGAGACAAGAGACTGCTCGGGCAGCGACACATCCTGCTGCGAAGTGTCCTGTGACGCTTTGACGCTGAGCTACGCCGAGCTCAAAGGACTCTTCAACTCTAACCGACAAGCTTCTGCACTCTTCTGCACACCTCTTAAGGCCTGTCTTGTTTACGTGGGTTTCTGGGTTTGGGGGTTTCGCTGTTCAGGGCTCAGTGGGGTCTGCCACGGCTCTCGGCTTGGAATTCTCCACTTCTGTTAGATTTTAAGGCTCAATGTCTAGGGTCTCTTTGGGGTTCTAATCTGGGTTTATCCACTCCTTACCAAAGCCTTTCTTTCGGCTCCGAGCTTCGAGCATCCCATTTGGGCCATGGTTTTATTTCCATATAGAAAATCTGGAGCCCTTCCACGGAACCCTTCCACGACATTTGAGTGTATCGGCAATGGCCTGTTGTAATTCGCAATTCCTTCTTGCCCTCCCTGGTCGTCTTGACAAGCTGGGAAATTTGAGCCCCTCTTGCCCTTCTTGGCCTTGATTTCTCTTCTTCTCCTTCTTGAAGTTATGTTTCGGACGGACCAGGCTGGTAACTCTGCAGCGGGCAAGATCCGGGAATAGGCAGGAAGGCGGGGGAGACGTGTAAGTCGGGAGGCAAGACGTGGCAACGGGCAACACGACGGGACAAGACGGCGCAAGACGGGGCAAGGCAGCCAGGCGGGTATAGAAGGATAAGACGTAATAGTCAGGGCTACTGCTGTTGACTCAGCTGGCATTTGTATGTGCATGATAACCAGCCAGGTCTGGGCACCACCGGAGTTTGACACGTGCTTGGGGTTGATAAGGCTTATGGTTCGGGATGTAAGGGATTTTCCCGTTAGGCCTGGCCGCCTTGAGAGTCATTGGCAACGCTAAACTTTAAACCCTCTAGGGTTCAGATTGTCTGGGGTCCAGAACCAGGGCTTTTTTGTCCCGGCGGGGCGGGCGACGGGGCGCAGGAAACTCTGGGCAGGCGAAGCACTCTGCGGTCATTCACTTTAGCTGCCGACAGTACCTGGACCCTTGGCCTTGGCGTTCTTCGTCGCTAGCGAGTTTGAGTGTTAGTCTGTGCTATGCAGAAAGAAACAAGCATCCATTGCCGTACGAAAGTACACTTGAGTGCATAGCTGATCCACCATAATGGGCTCACATGTCGTTCCCAACCGGAAACTTTGGAGTCCAAACCTTCTGGCACGATATCGCGCATGCAAAAACAGTGGGTTTAGGGTCTAGCTTTACAGGGCTACATGTGATTCCGTAATAATTGCCATGCAGAGCTAAGGGCTATGTCGAGCCTTGACGACCCTACCTCCAAGCAAGACTAAACTCAAGCCTAGCTCCGCCAGCTCTCGTGAAAAGACACTTGCGTCGCCTGCCAAAGGTTGCCCCCGTTGAACCAGACCAGATCCGCCATTGCTAGTAGTGACGAAAAAGGTGGGCTTCCCCGACTTGCTTCTAAACACGGGAAAATTGCGTGCGCGAATCGTGGTTATGTAAAGGTTACACTTCGGGCGGGTCAATTGTCGTTATAGCACCTCCTCTCCTGGATCCTGCGTGAGAGCGCATTCGTCTGTCTTGAGCAAGATGGACGGCACGTGGAGATGCTTGCAAAGAACATTGCAAGAGCCCCCTCGTCATCCACCCCAAAACAGCCCCATGTCGGACCTGCCTGCCTGTTCGAAACGAGTTTCCTAATTGGTCCGGCGGCTAAGGCGCCAAGCTCATAATCCAAAGTTGCGGGCTCAATGCCCCCCCCTTTCCCCAAGCATGATCTCCTGCTAGTCTCTGCTCTTTTCTGTTCTGCCCTGCTCTTGTCCTCCTCTACAATCTCTGCTCTGCGCTTGTTTCTTTACTTTGCTCTTTTTGCGAAGCCCCAAAAACGCCTTTCAGAACCGTTTCAGGACCCCACCGCCAGTCGTTTGCCCTGCCGACCCAAACGACGTACGATTCGGCTCTCTTTTTGCACATTCGCAGCGAAATTGCACGTCGTTTGCCCTGCCAAGCCCCAAACAAGCCTTTGAGGAACCTCCCCCCCCAAGGGACCCAAACGACGTACGATTTGGCTCTCTTTTTGCCACCCCAAGGGACCCAAACGACGTGCGATTTGGCTCTTTTGCACATTCGCAGTCGTTTGCCCTGCCAAGCCCCAAACAAGCCTTTGAGGAACCCCCCACCCCCCCCCAAGGGACCCAAACGACGTACGATTCGGCTCTCTTTTTCAGACTGCAGCCGTCAGCAGATGGCAAGGAGGTCGAATATCTCTTGCTGCACATCTAAGCTGGCAGTCTTCTTGAAGTCTCGCAGCTGCTCCTCTGCTTCTGCAAAGGTTCGCCAGGGATCGGCGTCAACCTGCCAGAGGATCTTCAGCTTTTCGATGATACCCTTTTGCCACGTGAGATTGGGCCGATGGTGCAGGATTCTGACCAAGAGGGACACCCACTGCTTCCGCTCCAGCGTGTCAAGTGAGCGCACGATACCATTCAGATGCACCGCGCACTGCACTGCCCTTCGAAAGGTCTCGTCGCTGCTGTCGGTGGACTCGGAGAGTAAGTCTTCCATCAGGCCAGGCACGTCTTCTGCAATCAGCCGCTGCACAAAAGGGAGGCTCCCTCGTCCATAGTTGACTAGAATTCTCTGCGCGGCCTCACTTACGAACGCACCCGCGTCCCGGCAGTGTCCAAGCAAGTCTCGAACGTTCTTCCCAACGATGCGGCGGACGTCAGCTTCAGGAAAGTGGGTTGTTCTGACATGCGCCAGCATCACACACCACGAACGACCTGAGATGGAAGAAGCGGTCAAACGCATCTGGCAAGGCTGAAAGATGCGACACTGACACAGAAGGATGGACCTCCTGGCTGCGAATCCTGATCAGATCAAGAGGCAACGGAAGAACTTCTCCTTCTCGACATCGCCTCCACAAGCTTCGGCGACAGAGAGCCTGCGGTTCTCCTTCATCAAGGTCTCATACATCAAACGTTTGGTATCGCGAAGAGCAAGGACTGCTGCAGACCTGCGGGGCACAAATCACGAACTCCGGAAACTTGACAAGGAATTTGCGCGCAATTGCAAAGGCTGCATAATTAAGGCTTATGCACTATCACGTGAAGCGGCGCAAGGCCATGCATACATCGGAGGAGCATCCCCAAGCAAAGGCAAAAACAGCGTGCCCTGATTCTGGTCTGACTCTCCCGCGCCTGTCCAGCCTACCCATTTCGGCCACGTGATCTAGCAAGGCCTAGCCAACATCCACTATACCATGTGCAAGAACTGTGCAAAAGCTCGCGGGTAGTTGAAGGTAAGTCTCGCGCTTTGGGGCTCCTTGTCTGCCGGGAGATTACGCGCCAGCTTAACAAATCAGCCACCTGCAGAAGTGCACAGGCATCACCCGGAATGCGTCAGGCATGGCCGCTCGTCCCTCGCAACATGTCTCTAATCCAAAGCCCTGCAGCCACTCGTGTCGGAGACAAGGCACGGTAAGGTGCGGCAACAGATCCGGCCTCGGGCTTTGTTCGGAGAGAGCCTCTACATTGCTAGGGTTACATTGCCTATCCAGGATCTGTGGGAAGCCATAAGCCGATGCGAAATTCCTCAGCAGTCCGAGGCGCAAAAGGAGCTTGTAGGGATCCCATTCCACATCGCCGACCTCGGGAGGAACTCGAGAAGAGGAACGCCGGCTTGCGGAATCGAGGCTTGAAACTTGCGACTTGTGACGCAGAGCCGCGGCTATCTGAAGAAAATGCTATGCTACAGTAGATCATGCTTATGTATCTTATGTCCCAGCTGCACGTGGGCATCCGGAACAAGCCCCTGCCGAAGTCTCCGGCAAAGATGACGGATCCTGGGAACAAGCATACACCAACAATGGCGCTGTGCCAAGCTGGGCCAGGCAGGCGCCTGCGTTGCAGCTTGCATTGCTTGCATTCCATCCAAGACAACTGCTCGAGAGGTAGCGCCACGCGTCCTGACAGGGATTTAAAGGCAGATTTACAGGCAGAAATCTTCGACGGTAACCTCAACAGCTCGCAACCGCTCAGGATCACTCAGGCAATGGCTCGTGTGACTCGTGCTTCTGCGTCTCCAGCTGCTGCTCCAGGTCAGACAGCTGCTTTCGCATGAGCCCAGCTGGTTTTGCGCGAGCTCCAGCTCAGACTTCAATTGCTCTGCTTGAGCTTCGTGCGCGCTTGACCTGGGGTTTGCCGTGATTTTGCGGAGCCGCTTAAGTGCTGCTCTTGCTCTGGACCCCAAAATTGCACCGGTGAATCCTGGATTTGGAGAAGTGCTCAGCTTACGTGCTGCTCTTCCTCTGGACATCTCTGGACCCTAAAAGCGCCCCGGTCAACGCTGGCCCGTGCGTCGTCTTCTGCAAAAAATTCTGGGGAACGGGCTCCGACTCCAGCTCGGCGCAGCGCATCTTCGCCGACGCCAGCTGACGGGAGGTGGCGCAGCCTCTCCGAACCTGAGCTGGACACGCAGCTGGGTTTTTGTGGCTTAGGGGGGCCAGGAGCTTGGGTTAGGAACGGGGGCTCATCAGGCAGGTCGCAAGGGAACGTGGCAGGTTGGCGGCTGCCGACTTGCATGCGGCTGCCTCACGAGCGCTGAAGCTGGGAACCAGGCTCCGAGTCGAGGTCGGCGAAGCGCTCCTGCTCCGACGCCAGCTGGCTGCGCGCTTCGTGGAGGGCGGCCTCGATGGACCTGGGGGCGCAAGTTCTGCTCGTGGCGGGTCGGGTGGAAGGGCTGGGCGCTCGTAGTGGCATGCTCCATCTGCAGCTGTAGGTATGGAGTGGCTCGCAGAGGCCAGCTAAACTGAGTCCAGGCAGCCGATACTTCTCCTCCCAGGCTGCAGCCTCCGTGTTGCATGAAGAGCACCTGACGGGGCACCCCTCTGTCCCGAAATATTTGAAGACAAGCGCCGCGGCTTCTCAGGTGCTGCCCAGTCGCGTGGTCTCAGTCTCAGGGTCCTGACGGCAGCAGAATGCAGATGAAGCCAGGCTCTTGGCGAGGCTCTGCAGCACTGGGCATTGGAAACTTATTGGAACGTCATGGCATGGACACGGCACGGCCCGCTGGTGCAAGCCTCGCTGGACCTGCTGGACCTGCTGGACCCACTGGAGCCGGGGGTCGCATCGGACATGGCGGAGTCCTGTCGAAAACTGCTGCGATGTGCTTCTGTCTGCGGAGGCATGCGTAGACATGCCAAGGCTGGGAAGAGAAAGGCTTCCACCTCGCTGCCGCGTCCTCGAATAGGTCGTCGCCCTCCGGCACGCAAGTCGAATCATCATCGGGCCGATGTGGCCCGCCAGGCAGGTGCCTCCTTGCATGGACGAGGCGCAGAGGTAACAGCCCCCGCTTGCAAAATGCTCTCCGTGCTCCACTACCGTATTCTCTAAGACTCTGAGCAGAAAAAGCTTGAATGGGTCTGCGTGCTGAGCAAGCCTACTCTGCTTGCAGCTGGCTGGCTTCTCTTTCAACCTCGTCTCGGCCAACTGAAGCTTGCTCTGCAGGGAGGCGTTGAGGTCGACCGCGTCTTTGAGGTGCTGCTTCGTGTCTTGGCACCTCGGTTGCTACAAGGTTGTAACAGAGCTGCCCCTAGCCCGCACCTGTGTGGAGGGGCTGCCCCCAAAAGGGAGGGAGGATTCGAAGTGAGGATGCGAAGTGACCTCAGCTAGCTGCAGTTCAGGCGCTCCTCCCGCAGCCTCTTGTTGGAAATCCGCAGCTTGCGGCATTGCATTTTTCTCAAAGACATTTCGACCTGCAGCTTGCAGTTGCTGTCGTGGCACCTTGGTCTCGGTCGCTTGCAGGATCCGAGCAACGAGCGGGCACTGGATGCGACTGCCATGTGCAGCACGGCCCGAGCGGCTCTTTTCGCAGAAGGTCGTTCTCAGACAGCAGCTGGTCGAGGTTGCACTTGCTGCGCTGGCACCTCGGCTTCAGCTACATTGAAGAGCACAACGGCAATGCCTGGATGACAAACCTCCGCCCTGAGCATGTCTCGGCAGAGCGGCTCCGTGCGCAGGAGGTCATTCGCAGACCGCAACTCTGCCGCCTCCGTCTCCAACTCTCCCAGCTTGGCAGTGCGCCTCGCTCGCACATGAGCGGATCCCCGCATAGGCGCAGAGCAAAGCAGCATCGCATGTGGCCCGGACTTGCTGAGCTCTGTCCGCAGCTGAGCGATGCGTTCATCGGGCAGGCAGGTGCTGGCGGTGGCGATGCTGTCGTCGCTGCAGGCACTGCCGCTGCTAGGGCGACTTTTGCGCCTTGGGTCACCACAGGCACCAAGCTTAGACAGGAAGGACCAGGGCACTCAAGCAATGTGATTGCGATGTGCGGCTCGGGGCACTGCCCTCCTTTCCGATCTTGCGCCGCGTCTTCTGGAAGGCAGAAGCTCATCGGCCTCCAAATACATGAAGAGTTCACGTCAACAAGCATCAGCGTGTCTGGACAAAGTGGCATTGCAACATGGCAAACATGCCGCCGAAGGAGCAGGTGGGCACCGCAGCCGTCCTTCTCATTCTCCCTGCGCGTCATCCTCAGCGAGTACATTACCAAATTATGCGAGATGTTGCATCGGGTCGGCATGCCTATAAACATGAGGCACACGATGGCTGCCGGCTGCCGGCCTCTCGGTGCCGGGATGACGTTGTGGTCTGCGCCTTCGCCGGTCCATGGCTGGTGAAAAGGAGGCTCGCTGCCCGAAATGCGCTCAGAGCTCCTCAGAGGCTGCTAACATAGACGTGGCTATCAGGGACATGTTGTAGTGGACCTTCTACAAAGAGCCGCTTCGGATCTGGGCAGGATGCATTGGCGCTATTCTTATTGCATCATAAGTTGAAGTGACAAAGATTGGCTGTTCGCTGCATTGCTGTCGCGGAAACTTCGTGTGATCTGTCCGTGCGATGTGCACGAGCTGTGCACGAGGCAAGATGCTTGAGCGACCGGCGGACCGTGATCGAAGGTGCTGTTCCGATAGTGACCGCAACACTTTCATGTCTTTGCAGGACAAAGCGGTCGGTCCTTGCTTGAACTGACCCAAAGGCACAGGCCCCACTGCCCATCTTAATGCCGGGCACCTCTGAAAGAAAACGCCTCTCTCTGCAGGTCTCGCCAAACTAAACCCTCCACACCGGTACATTCGGTGTCCCACATCTACAGTCAAACTGTCGGACACGGCAACACTCAAACAGTCTTGTTGATATCTTTCTACAGGTCTCGCCAAAGCCGTATCAACACACACAGAGCAGCAACCAATGCAGAAAAGCAAAATGCCACACCACTCAAAGAACGGTCTGGTTTGCACACCTTTCTGCAAAGCAATCTCCAGCCCCCCAGCACCAAACACACAAGTTGGATCAAGTTGGTGTCCCGTGCCCAAATTCAACATGCCACACACGGCTTCCGGCAACATTCAACACAGTCTTATTGTGAGCGCGTCCCAATACACACAAGGAGGCATGATTCGGGCACCTCTGAAAGAACACGCCTCTCTGTAGGTCCCAGTACAAACAACTCGGTGGCTCACGTCTACAGTCAAACTGTCGGACACGGTTTCTTGCAACACTCAAACAGTCTTGTTGAAATCTTTCTACAGGTCTCGCCAAAGCCGTATCAACACAGACAGAGCAGCAACCAATGCAGAAAAGCAAAATGCCACACCACTCAAAGAACGGTCTGGTTTGCACACCTTTCTGCAAAGCAATCTCCAGCCCCCCAGCACCAAACACACAAGTTGGATCAAGTTGGTGTCCCGTGCCCATATTCAACATGCCACACACGGCTTCCGGCAACATTCAACACAGTCTTATTGTGAGCGCGTCCCAATACACACAAGGAGGCATGATTCGGGCACCTCTGAAAGAACACGCCTCTCTGTAGGTCCCAGTACAAACAACTCGGTGGCTCACGTCTACTCAAACTGTCGGACACGGTTTCTTGCAACACTCAAACAGTCTTGTTAAAATCTTTCTACAGGTCTCGCCAAAGCCGTATCAACACAGACAGAGCAGCAACCAATGCAGAAAGGCAAAATGCCACACCACTCAAAGAACAGTCTGGTTTGCACACCTTTCTGCAAAGCAATCTCCAGCCCCCCAGCACCAAACACACAAGTTAGTGTCCCGTGCCCAAATTCAACATGCCACACACGGCTTCCGGCAACATTCAACACAGTCTTATTGTGAGCGCGTCCCAATACACACAAGGAGGCATGATTCGGGCACCTCTGAAAGAACACGCCTCTCTGTAGGTCTCGCCAAACCCTCCATACCAGTACAAACAACTCGGTGGCTCACGTCTACAGTCAAACTGTCGGACACGGTTTCTTGCAACACTCAAACAGTCTTGTTGAAATCTTTCTACAGGTCTCGCCAAAGCCGTATCAACACAGACAGAGCAGCAACCAATGCAGAAAAGCAAAATGCCACACCACTCAAAGAACGGTCTGGTTTGCACACCTTTCTGCAAAGCAATCTCCAGCCCCCCAGCACCAAACACACAAGTTTGCCCATATTCAACATGCCACACACGGCTTCCGGCAACATTCAACACAGTCTTATTGTGAGCGCGTCCCAATACACACAAGGAGGCATGATTCGGGCACCTCTGAAAGAACACGCCTCTCTGTAGGTCTCGCCAAACCCTCCATACCAGTACAAACAACTCGGTGGCTCACGTCTACAGTCAAACTGTTGGACACGGTTTCTTGCAACACTCAAACAGTCTTTGTTGAAATCTTCTACAGGTCTCGCCAAAGCCGTATCAACACAGACAGAGCAGCAACCAATGCAGAAAGGCAAAATGCCACACCACTCAAAGAACAGTCTGGTTTGCACACCTTTCTGCAAAGCAATCTCCAGCCCCCCAGCACCAAACACACAAGTTGGATCAAGTTGGTGTCCCGTGCCCAAATTCAACATGCCACACTTCTGGCAACATTCAACACAGTCTTATTGTGAGCGCGTCCCAATACACACAAGGAGGCATGATTCGGGCACCTCTGAAAGAACACGCCTCTCTGTAGGTCTCGCCAAACCCTCCATACCAGTACAAACAACTCGGTGGCTCACGTCTACAGTCAAACTGTCGGACACGGTTTCTTGCAACACTCAAACAGTCTTGTTGAAATCTTTCTACAGGTCTCGCCAAAGCCGTATCAACACCGACAGAGCAGCAACCAATGCAGAAAAGCAAAATGCCACACCACTCAAAGAACGGTCTGGTTTGCACACCTTTCTGCAAAGCAATCTCCAGCCCCCCAGCACCAAACACACAAGTTAGTGTCCCGTGCCCAAATTCAACATGCCACACACGGCTTCCGGGAACATTCAACACCCCCCCCCCTGTCCCAATACACACAAAAAGGCAGCCCATGCTCGTGCCTGAAATCAAAAGGACACTACCTTTCTGGAAATGCCTAAATTCAAAAATGATGCCACACACGGCTTCTAGCAACATTAACACACAGTGTTATCGCGCGCCTTTCTGCAATGTCGCAAATGGCGCGCACGGTTCCCGGCAATTCTCCAATCACAGTCTTGTTGCAAAACTTCGTGCATGCAAAGACTCGGCAAAGCCCTCGCACCCATGGGCACAAGGTATCAACCACGACTAAATCAAAATGTCACAAACGGTTGTTGGCAAACTGTCGTTGAAGCCGCCCATGCCCAGCAGGAAGAGCTCCGAGCGCTGCTGAGTCACATAAACTGCAGCCGCACAGCCGCAGCAGAGCGGCGATTGCAAATTGGGTCCTCGAGTGTGGCGGAGCTGTGCAAAGGAGATGGCAAGAAGCCTGCTTGATTTTCGACGTCTGAAATCATGTCCCTACCTTGCTGTATGCAGATCCGAGGCAAGTGTGACAAGGTGTTCTTTCGAGAGGCATGCGTTGGCTCTAAATGCAAGGTTTGGCAAGCCATGAGCCGCATCGTGCAGTGTCAAGGGCGGACAAGTCATGACAAGCCTATCGGAGCGGACTTGACAGAGAAGGGATGGAGTTGGTGGCTGATTTGACGGCTATCCTGGAAACAAATGAGGAGCTGTCGTGATCGAGTAGCTGACAGGAGCTTTTCGATGGCAGGTTTGAGCGATTGCTCGCTGAGTTGTTGCTATGCTGGCTTGGCGAGCCGTCGGTTTTGACTGTTCCGATGTCGTTTCTGCTGGGTACTCCCAGAGTAGAGACGGATGCGGCACAACTGTTGTGTTGCGTGCTCGGCTTGTCCGTGAGCTAACCCGATGGCTGCATGTGACACCTTCTGAACATACAGCGAAACAGAAAGATGGAAAAAAAGATGGAAGAATTGAAGAGGAGAACGATAGAGAAAGAGAGAGGTGCGTTTGCAAGGCGCTTCGGGATCTGCAGGAAACCCATGCCAACAAGCGCGAACCTTGAGGTTTGATTCTGGCGAGATGTCAAGGGTTAAGGCGCAGGTTGGTCATCATAGCATGCGTACCATGCCAGTGGATTATAAACAGCCCACCCACGCACAAACTGTTCGAGGGACGGACGTATCCCGTACAAATTTCAAGCTACGGGGGTGAGAAGGCTTGGTGAAGGCTTTGTGAACGACGGCGACCGCGACTGAGCCAGCGCGCAAAGCCACCACTTTTCAGCGAATGGCCCCGCGCTGCCAGTCCAAGGCACCTTTTCAGGCAGCCTTTTCATGGCCGGCTCGGTTGCAGAAGCCACCGGACACATGAACAACTACGCATCAAAGGGCCGGGATTTTGTGCTCACAAAAGGTCTACGTCCGTCCGTACCCGTATGCACGCAGCAGCGCTCCTGCCAGAAGATGTAGTTCATCACGCCGCCTCTAAGGTCGCCTCGAAGGCAAGTTCTGCACGTCAGCTTCGACTTGGCAAGCATGCGCCATCACAGCCGGGTCGAAGGAGCCAGCGGCAGCAACTGGGGGAATGGCATTGGCCTTCCGGCCACGGAGTCGAAACATTGCCCCGATGCTCTCGGCAAAGCCCTCTCGCGATTCGACAGACACAAGTGTCAAATTGCCTGGAGCAAAAAGCGCCCTCAAAATCCTTCAAGTTGAGGAGCGAGGGTTCTCAAGAAGGCTTAAGGATTACAAGGTTTGGGGTCCGGCCCGTCGTGAGAGAGCTCTAGGGAGACCAGGGGAGGCTGCACTGCCGGCCTGACGTGTTGCTTCGATCTTGGGATCTTGCCGGCATATGTTCCGACCAATGAGCAATGCCATTCCTGACAAGAACTGACATGTTCTGCAGAGAGAGAGAGAGAGCGAGAGAGAAAGAGAGCAGAGAGAGAGCGAGAGAGCGAGAGAGAGCGAGAGAGCAAGAGAGCGAGAGAGCGAGAGAGCGAGAGAGCGAGAGAGCGAGAGAGGGAGAGAGCGGGAGAGCGAGAGCCCGGGTCACCTCCAGCACGCCATGAACCCTCAGTTGTCAACACGACCTTGCCTCTCGCAATCTCTTGCACGTAGGTCCAAGAAGATCAGGCCTCGGCACGTCGGGCGCTTGCTTGGTCTGCGAAAGGACCCCACTTACAACTCTGCAGCAATCGGCATCAGCGGTTCCATGCCGGGCCTCCTCCTATCTCCTCCCAAAAAACCCCCAGTATGCATCACCCCCCCACGGCTGCCCGCCTCCGCCTTTCTCCCTGAAGCCTCAAACTCCCGCAAGACAAGTCGCGTTCCCAAAGTCTCCCAAGATTCCTTAAGCATTCTTTTCAAGGGGCATGTGGGACCTTAATGCACTCTTGCGCTACCAGCACTGAGACAAATGCCTGTGTCCGTGGCCAAGTCTCATGATTACATTAGAGTTTCAAGAATACCCATCCCGACGTAAAACCTAACCGAAACGACAAACCTCGTGTTAACCTGGCATTGATTTAAGCATTTGGGTTTCTGAGTTTTTTTGTTGCTTACAATCCTGCCTCAGAAACTGCCCACAGATTCGATTTGCTCAGATCAGTACCCTGGCATGACTGCACAGAACTCAAAGGCAGTGAGGTGGCCAGGCGTTCAGGACCATAAGAAGCCCAGCAAGCGTGCCCCGAACATGCGGCCAGAACCCCACCTCCCTCCATATGTTCGAGGAACAATAGCATGGCACACAGACCCTGAAAGGATCATCACACATGACAGAACACTTTCAGAAACGCTGAACTGGCGGTTCGTTGACGAGCTCAAAACGCTGAGAGGAGAAGTGCCGTGTCACGGTCGAGTCAAGTCGTTGCATCGCTGTCCTTGAAACACGGAAGCCTGTGAACATGTCTCTCACAACCAATATGGCCTCACACAGGGAGGGAGGGTTCTTGTCCACAACCCCCAAAATCTGGGGGTTCGTCAAAATTGGGGCTGGTCAACGCACGCTTGTTGTCCACAACGTGGGAGCGAAAGGCTTTTGGGGGCTCGTCAACATTGGGTTACGTGCCACTCTTGCGCTTGCTACGTGCTGCAACGTTCCGGCCTGTTTTTGGTTTTCCCCAGAGTAGGGCTGGGTTACGCTCCGCCGCCTCCGATTGGCGGCTTATATTATTGTTACCCATCGAAGCGTGGGGAAGGCAGCCCCATGAAGTAGCGTAATCATGGCTCCATAACTTGCCCGGGGGGCGCGTTATGGAGCACGACTACATTACCAGGTGTCGGCGCTTGCCACCAAGGAAAATGTCTCAATTTCCTTAGACCACCCTCTTCTTAGGCACTCTGTGAGGCCAAAACATGTTACCCTACGACGCCCAAAATCAGCGCTGGTAACGTAATCGCGGCTGCATAACCCGCCCGGGGGTAAACCCCTATGCTTAATGATGATGTTTGTCCCATTGTACAGAAACTGTGACAATCGAGTTGTAAATCCTGGCTGTTCAATGGCAGGCAGCAAGGCCGTGCTGCACCACGATGGCTACGTTCCGCTACGTTCCGGCCTGTTTGGATTTCCCATACTATATAAGGCTGGGTTATGTTCCACCCCCGCCACGTTCCGGCCTGGCTTTGCTTTTCCCTGGTTTTGCTTTTCCCCAGACCCTCCAAACATCCACCACGTACCCCCCTACCTCCTACCCCTGACGTACCCTTACAACTTCGAAAAAAAAACATGTGTATGTGTATGTATATATAGAAAAGTGTGTGTGTGTGTATATATACGCCGACCCCTGAAGCGGGGTGGCTTCAGTGAAGACTCATTTTCCCTGCACCGCCCTCCCCGCCCTCCCCGCCCCGCTCTCTCCATTCTCCTTTCCATGCGCTTAGTGCTTAGTGCTTCGTGTACAGGGCCGCCCACCACCCCTACTCCCCTGCCCCAGCCTGCTGCCAACCTGCTGGTTTACCTTGAGATGAACTGTTTTGAGGGTTCCCCTTTTACCTTGGTTAGGTGTTTTGAGGGCTCCAATGCATGCGAAAACCCCCGTCGATCTCAAACCTATGCTGCCCAAGCCTGCTCACAGCCTGTACCCTTTAGCTTGAAATGGAGCTTGAAATGAAGTGTTTTTTAAGGGCTCCAGTGCATGCCCGCCCCCGCCTTTCCCACCGTTCTCAGCGCCCTCCGCGCCCTCACCGGCCTCACCGCCCCCAGCCCCCCCCCCCCCCACCAAGCCCCCCACCCAAACCCCCTGTTTGGCGTCCTACTCTTGCGCATGCTACCTCGTTTAGGGGAGTAGGGGCTCTGTTCCCACAAGGGAAAACATCTCGATTGACTGAAAAGTCCTCTTTCGGGGGACAATACAAGTTTCTATGATGCCCAGAAACATGTGCTGGTAACGTAATCGCGGCTCCACAACCCGCCAGGGGTTAAAACCCTAAGACGCCAAAAGCCTCTGATTCGCAACAAGTCTCTGATTCGCAGTTGCTGATTCGTAGCTTCTGATTCACAGGTCAATGTCTGATTTTTTTGGCTTACCTGAAATGAGGGCACTTCGCAAATTCCACATCCTGCCCAAGGTTGTCTCCAACGCGGCTCTCCTCTCCTCCAACTATCCCAACCCCGAACTGCTCTCACAACACAAGTTTCTAAGGTTGCGACGCCTGTGTCTGGCTTCCCAAAACCAGCACTCGAAGTGCTGGCCCCGCACCAGATGGTGCATGAACTCGGTTCAAAAGGTCCTGACGCGTGCCGGAAGATTGTACCCAGACACAGATTGTTCGCCTTGTGTGTGTGTGTGTGTGCGCCCCTTTGCTCAAAGGCATCGTCAGTTCAGTTGTGGCAGTCCTCTTTCTCTGCGAAAAGATGACAGCCTCAGAGGACATCACTTGCGTTGTCTTCACTTCCTCCTTTCCCTCCTTTTTTCCCTCCTCCCCCTTCGGGCGCTGGCAAAGCTCGGAAGCGCTGGAGGAACTGGAGGTGCTCGGCCTGCTGTTGCCAACAGATCCAGCTGAGGCTCTCTAATCGGAGACCTAAGGAGACTTCAATGGAGCGTAAGGCCCGGTCGCCACCCGCCGTAGACGAATGTGAACTTCATGGGGGATGTGACCACGAGCAAAGACAGCTACCTGCCATGGCCGAGGCTCTGCATTCCATGACCAACCTTTCGGAAAGCAACCCGTACATCACATGCATCAATGCTGCATCAATACGATCGCACAGACGTGTCCTCATCTGGCAAGTTGGCAGAGACAGGAGCAACGTATGCCTTGCACGCGCACGAGGAACTTACACTAAGACACCATGGTTTCCCATGCACAGAATATACGGAGGGCCGTCGCCTTGTACAGAGAGCGACTTTCTAGACACCATGAACGGACGACTGAGGCATCATGAGGGCATTTTGAGGTTAACAGCAGGGGGCTTTAAAAGGGAGGTTTCACTCTTGCATTCAGTTTGGCCCTTGCGCTGTCTTGCTGCGGCGACACTCGGAACGGCTTTTGAACATCGACAGCTACTGACAAACAGACAGGCAAATATGTCCAGCCGAGATTTCACGAGGAGCTCACTCGGACTGCCCTCCCAGGGACTTTTGGGAGTTTTAGCTCCTCAGGGGATGGGAGGCCGGTACTGCGTGGATTCTTAAGAGATGTTACGAGCGCAGTCAATGTTCTAGCGGCTGGTTGTTCAATGATCACCATGTGCACCGAGGCAAGCGCCATGGTCACATCAACCAGCACCGGAGGTTTCGACTGAAGCTCCTGTGCCCAGCAGCTTTGTGAGGTGACTGCAGCGCGCGGCCAGTTCCTGACATGTGCTTCCTTAGCAGCATCTTGCAAGGCTTCCCACGCTGCAACGAACCCTGCTGTCCGTGGATGGAGCACCTCACCAAGAATTCGGGGAGTTGATCGAGAGACATTGGCTGTTTACGTTGCGCAGCCCTGTTAGTGCCGGCCCTGGGTGTAAATCTGCAAGCCCTCTTTTTGAGCATAGCTTTGGCTCTTCTCCCTGCCACATCCCGCTGCGCCACACAGCTCCATGAACACGCAGGGTAATCGGGCCCGCGGCACAGATTCGACTTGCTCAGATCAGTACCCTGGCATGACGGCACAGAATTCAAAGCAGTCACCATGCTTCCCGGCACCCCAGCAACGCGTACTGCAAGAGCACGCACTGCAGGCGCGAGGTCCAAGTATGACTGTCATGAAACACCTAGCGAGCCGTGCCGGGTGTCCTGGACCTTATGAAGCCCAGCAAGCGTACGCCGAACATGCGGCCAGAACCCCACTCCCTTCCATGTCCTCGGGGAACAGTAGCAAGGCCAAGTTTCCGCGACCACCTGACAAGCAACAGCACGCTAGCACTCAGACCCCGAAAGGATCGATTGTCACATGTCGCATATGGCATATGACAGAATACAAAAACGATGAAGCGGCAGTTGGTTGACGAGCTCAAGCGCTGAAATTGCTCAAGAGAAGTGTCGTGTCACTATCATGTCGTTGAATCGTTGTCCTTGAGGCACGGAAGCCCCGCTACCAGATGGCCGCACCCAGGGATGGAGGGAGGGAGGGGGGCGGGAAGGAGGGAGGGAGTATGAATGAACAGCTCGCACTTTTTGAAACCTTGTCTGGCCCTTCTTGCCCTACCTGCTTCAGCAAAAAGTCAAACTCAAGCCTAGCTCCGCTAGCTTTCGTGAGTGGGCAGCCCCGTCACTTGTGCCCACGCGTTCGCGGTCACTTGTGCCCACGTGGTTTCGGGTCACTTGCGCCCACGTACCCCGTCACTTGCGCCCACGTTTCTGGGGGGGGGAGGGGGGGAAGAATAAGCTTGGTTGATGCGGTCAACACAACCACATCCAGTCACCCGCCCTGCACCGGGTGAGGGGGGGGGGGGGGTCGGGGGGGGGGGGGATAAGAATGGGCTTGTATGACGCGGTCAACACAACCCTCCCTGCAACGGGTGAAGGGGGGGAGGGGGGGGGGGGGGGGGGGGGTGGGATTTTTTGATTTTGCTTGTTTGACGCGGCGCATCCAGAACGGTGAAGGGCGAGGGGTAAGAATAAGCTTGTTTGGCGCGGTCAACACAACCACATCCAGGGGCGGGGGGAGGGGTGAGGGGATCTGACTTTAAGGGAGGCTTTCCAGACAAGGTTTCAGGTCAGTTGTTTCCGGCGGAGGGGGGGAAGGGGGAGGAAAACGAGCTTGGAAGGGGGAGGGGGAAGGGGGAAGGGGGAGGGGGGAGGGGGGAGGGGGGCAGGGGGAAGGGGGAAGGGGACGGAGGGGGGCTGGGTGTTTACAGGCATCTGACCCAAGGGAAGCTTTCCACACAAGGCCTGGGTCAGTTCCTTGGGTTGAGGGTTCGGGTTTCAGGCCGGCATAAAAACGACTGTTGTTGACCGATGCGCCCTGCACGGTCAGCCGGAGTGCTTGGCAAGGGGGTGAAGGGGGAAGGGGGGGAGGGGGGGGCTTGGGCGGACATCTGACCCAAGGGAGGCTTTCCACGCAAGGCCTCAGGTCAGTTGCTTCTGGGGTTCAGGGTTCGGGTTTCGCGGTTTGGGTTTCAGGATGTTTCAGGGTTCAGGGTTCAGGTTTAGGGTCTGAGTTTCAGGGTTTAGGATTTAGGGAGTTTTGGGTTTGGGGATCAGGGGTGCCTCGTACCATCCAAACGCTGCCGCTTCGGCAGACATGAAAGGCGTTCAAGGGCTTCAGGTTTATAAGGGCTTGGGGAGGCTTAGGGCTTCGGATTTGACAGCATGGGCCTGTAAGGTCTTGGAATTTGGGGCTGGAGGCCTTGGGATTTTGGGGATTAAGAGCTCTGCAGTTTCAGGTTACTTAAGTTAGTGTCGATTCAGGGTTTAGAGCTTAGGCCTCCGGGGGTATGATAGAGGGTGTCATTGATGAGGACGTCTTTTGATATCGAAACACATGATTTTGGAGCCAGCCCACCCCTTTCAGGAAAAAGAAACTAGCAACCTGAGACAACTACGTCCACTTGAACGGGGTGACAGGTGGCAGGGGCAGAGAGGCTGCCGGATGTGGCAGGGACATGACTTTTCAAATGAAAAACACCTCATCCTGTGGCCCTGCCATATTTTAAGACCAAAAGGCGGGCACAAGTGACAGGTCTGCGTTTTGGCAGCAGGTGGCCCAAAGTGTGGCCCTGCTGTGATTTGAGGCACGTACGCGGGCACAAGTGACATGCGAGTGGGCGGGCACAAGTGACAAGCATAAGGCGGGCACAAGTGACAGGTCTGCCCTTTCGTGATTGCACCGGAATCATGCTTGATCTGCTCTGCATGACACGTTGAAATGCGCCAGGTATTACCTGCTGGCACCTTAGGTAAATGTACTGGCACCGCGAACCTTATTTTCTCAGCAGCGCACCACTCTGGGCACAAACGCTTCGCAGAACTTTTAGATCAGCTTCCCGGTCCCGCCGGCACCTGGCCCATGATGCGAAACACCACAAGGCACATGCCGAACAGAAGCGCGACACAAAACATGCAGGCAGATCATGAACGGGTATGCGAAGCATTGCCTCAGCAGAAAATACACGGATGAAATGGCGTTTACTGCTGCCAGCCATGCCACAAGAAGTGCATCGGTTCAGCTTTGGCGTGTGCATAAAGAGCAGCTAGAGGGCTTACATTTCGAAGCTTGCAGGAGCGAGACCTCGACGACGCTACGGAAAGTTTGGACCTCTGAATACGAGGACGTGGAGGCCAGCAGCTCCTAGCAGCTAACCGTGAGAACGATGTCAGTAGAAGTCGCTTCAGAATGGCCCACTTTCTGCCACAAGCAAACCGGCAGCATGCCCCCTCGATTGCGTAATGCCATGTCAATGGGCGACGTGTCTGCAAGTCAGGACCAGGCACGGCCCAGCCAAAGCCTGCTGATGACAACAGGCTATGTACCGCGCAGGGTTCTTGTGCACAGCATCTCTGACTACCGTCCTGGTGCTGCTCTCAGGTTGTCCTGCACGGCAGTGATGCGTGCACGCAATATCCTCTGACGAGTGAGTGGGCAGAACCCGGTCCTTGAGCACGATCTTAAGGCCAGATAGACGTCCCAGAGCCGAAGCCAGGGCCCACAGAAACATCCAATCCAACCTGCCATCTTGAACGTGGGATCAGGCGGGACGCGCAAAGGACAAGCAGACTCAACTCGAAGGCATGGCCGACCGTGTAGGGTGGTTGGAGATCAAGAGCAGGTCGCCCTCATCACAGCGACGCATGCAGAATTCACCAAAGTCCACCGAGTCTCCTGGCAGCCCCACTACACCAAGTCCGCCTGCAACGCCCAGGTGTCGAGCTCCCCATCGCCTGAAGCAGTCATCGCAACAAGAACAACAATTCTCACTGTTGGATCTCTCATGTTAAAGCCGTTGGGGCCGGACACGCATGGATGAGGATGCGTGTTCGTAAGACACACCGAAGGCAGAACACTGCCAGGCCGAACCACGCGGCCTGCATGCGACTCTTTCCCACGACATTTAGCCCCTTAGCTGCCTGGGCTCGCGCATGTGACGCACGCATGCCGCAAGCTGTTTCACGGAGTGCCACAATTTGCTGCCAAGGACTGAATGCCTGGCACCAGGATGCGATGACGCAAAAAAGTCCCCGGGCAGTCGAACTTGGCAGAAGCAGCAAAGGCAACGCCTCGGCGATTTGAAAAAGAGCAGTTCACACATGATGTCACGACGTGAAAACTGAGAGCCTTGCGGGCAGTAAGACAACGCAGCATGTAAGAATTGACCTTGTTCTCAACGAAACCGTGTCTCAGGCTGTGGTCATGGCAGTTATGCAGGATGAGCGTGACCACCGCAAAACTGAACCAAGGCACGTCTGAAACCACAGCAACAGTACCTGTCATTGCCGACACTGCAAGCACAAACACAAACACGCAGCGCAAGCTTCTACAAGCCTGTATCAAAACATCACAGCTTTGCTTAAACACGCAAGGCCACACACGAAGCTGCCAGACGATGACGCAAAGGCGCCGCAGTTGTCATGTCATGCACATGTCGTATCTAAATTTGACCGATCACAAAGCAACAACTACGTCGACTCGTTGACCACGTGTGCTCAACAGTTCTAAGCTCAAACAGCTGCCAGACGCAATCAACTCGACAATTGTCAGGTTTCATTTCGCGATTGATGGGTTTCGGGGTCAGGGTTAGAGGTTGTAGGGTTTAGGGCTCAGGCTGGTCTGCCTCTTGTTCGGTCTGCCTCTGTTCTCCCTCGCATTAGCTTTAAACCGGGGCGGACTGCATTCGAGTCTTTGTTGGTGGCAGAGAGTTTGCAATCGTAGTCCAAACAGGCGAGTTAAGCTAGCAGCTATCCAAGAAGCCACCCATTGACTCTCCGCAGATGCCGCAGATTGTAAAAGCCAACCAGCTGAACGAAAAGACTTGGGAACAGGAGCTTCGCGCAGAAGCCCCGCAGTGGAGCCCAACAGGAGGTTTTAGGGTTTAGGGTGTAGTAGGGTGACCGCAACACTTTCATGTCTTCGGAGGACATAGCGGTCGGTCCTTGTTTAAACCAAAGCTAACCGCAAGTTTGGAAGTGACAACAGCAAGTTTGGAAGTGACGCTCTTGGCACTTGCCCTCAAAATTCAAGACCACAGCGGTTCTGAAGCAAAACTTCACACCCTTCGATGCCTCGATGTTTTGACACCTGGTAAGCCGATTGGGCATAGTAAACCTGAACCCCGTACACGTAGACAGAATGTGGTCTAAAGTCCATGATCACAGGCTCCTTGCCCCCCCCCCCCCCCCCCCACCCCCCACACCACGCGAGTGGCACTGATGCGGCATCCAACCCATTGATTCATATCTTGCATGGCCCAGGGCCTTCCAGCTTCAGAACTCCAACGAACAAACCCTTCGGTAGTTTTGCGAACAAAGTTCTCGTCGGTCGCAGTCCATTGATGGTCAGCCCCATTTGCAAACACAATGCTCGCAGCATGGGTTTCGAACTCGAACTCGAACTCGATTCCGCAGCGGTCTGGTCTGACCTACTAGCTAGCTGTAGCTCATGACATATGTCACGGCCGCTCTGTGGCGGCGATTAACAGCTTCGGGTATGGACATGCAAGGCAACTGCACAGGAACCGAAGTTCAACAAACTATGCAGTACAGGGTCTCCAGCGCTCACAGTCGCTCAACCTAGCGTTCTCGCGCTTACTAACTAGGGAGTAGACTGTGACAGCTCAGCTGAACAGTGAATGAATTGTCAAAACGAAAAAAGCAAAAACACATCACGCCACTCTGCCTTGGGCAGGGGGCCGGAAACGGCAACCCCGAGACAAGTGCTGCGCAAGCCCTGTACACTGTACAACTTCAGCACTGAGCTACAAAATGGTCAGCTCAATGATGGATCTCACTCATGAAAAGCAGTCAGTTGAGGACCTCCATGGAGGGACGGACTCAGAGTCCACTAGAGCATCGAAATGCACTCCACAGGCCAATTTCAAGTGAAACGGAGTCCACAACAAGCCCACAAAAAGAGAACCATCAGAGCAATCCCAAGAACACCTCAGCGGCAGGTACACAGCGTAGGGGACCATCACGTTGAGGAAGCCCAATGCACCCACCAGATAAGAAATTAAAACAAATAGCAGCAGCATATTGAATAGAAGGGCCGATAATACGGCGCCCCCGCCCACAGGCCAGGTTGCCGTGAAGCCTGGCAATCGCAAGTGGCCAAGAAAAACCAAGCAAGTATGGGGTGAGTGTGTGGCACTGCTCCAGCACATGCATTGTACAAGCAAAGAACTGAGTCAAATATGGTCAGCTCAACGATGATCCAAACTCATAGGGCAGACAGTTGAGGACCTCCATGGAGAGTCTGGTACTACAGTGACTCGTCGCATCGCGCAAGTTGCCTCATTGCCCGAAAACTCGCCATGGGCCGACCCACGAACTCCCAAAAGGGCTAGGTGGGAAACAGGAACGAACTGTCCACAACGAATGTCGTCACATATCCTTCCAGCTGTTGCAACCGAAGGTGAAAGCACCATGAGGTGGGCCATCAGAGCAGTCCCAGACGTCGCCTCAGCAAAAACGAATTCATTTGCATAGAGACAAACTGTAGCAGCACAATGTAGGGGCCGAAGACGGCGCCCTGCCCATAGGCCTGGTTGCCGTAAAGCCTGACAACCGCAAGTGGCCATACATTCATCCCAAAATGCCTGATTGCCGCAAAGCCTGGCAACCGTAAGTGGCAATGAATAGTCATACAACATGAATAACAAAAGCAAATACGAAATAAATAAACCAAGCACTGAGCATAGGCGCGAGCTCGCTGGCAGTGAAAACACTGTACCTTGCAGTCCGCCCCGAAGCGTTGGTGCGTACATAATGCCTGGCCAGTATCTTCGCCCACATGATCACGAACCTGATTGGCTCCCGCTGCAGCACTGGAATCTGCAGCAACCCTCACTTCCACCAGCAATACTTTTGGCCTGTCTTCAGTGGCCCATCCAGGAATGCTGGTTGCCGGACTTGGGACCGGCACGGCTCGTAAAATAAAGAAGAGCGGACCTGCAGTGAGGATGCTTGAAGGTGTCACTCGTGTATCTCCCAACCGTGGGGCTAACTGCGTTTGCGCAACCAGCTCATCAAGTGGCAAAGGCGTCTCCAAAAACATCCAATAGCAGAATGCCATGCAAATACCATACCAGATCCATGAAGGCCAGTGAGTGCACCGAGGACAACCTGAATGCACGGGTCTCTGACATATCGCCATCGTCATTGCATCTGTGAATGGGTGCCGAAAGTGCGGCTTCCCCAGGCTCAGTATTGAGAAACCATGTGCAAAAGCAAGAACTACAGCGTCCGGAGGGGGTCCAGTTGAACAGAGAACCTGTTTGGCCTCGAACCCGGTTGACCCCCTACCAAAAGAAACATGTGACCCGAGCCGAGAAGCTTAGCATGGGTTTCGAAAAGATGCATATGCTTTGCAGCAAGCTTGCACACATGTATCCTTCGAAGCAAGCGTGCACAACTCGCATCATGGGCTCCGAAAAGATGCGCATGATTTGAAGCAAGCTTGCACGATGAAAAAAAAAGCAGGGGAGGGGGTTCAAAAAGATGCACAACATTGGACAGGCGAGCATCATCGCATCACCGGCTCGGTCCCGGGGAGCACCGTAAATGACACCGTATTTCACGTGCTTTTGGATGCTCCATTGCTCGAACTTGTTCCCGGCATCGTCCCCAAATTGCTCGATGATTCTCACAGGGACCAAGTTGTGCATCAGCCACCCTTTGTTTGATCAGCATCAGAAGCAATGGCAATGGCAGACTGGGGTCGGGTTCGGGGAACAGGGACGCCATCCACCATGCTCAGACCTCCTAAGCCTTCCTCTTCCACGACATGAGCAGCAGCGGCTCGGGCTGTGCGCTTTGTGTTCGGACCCCCTGCACGTGCCAAGCGCGCACGCTTCACCGTTGAGTCCTGGCATGGATGCTATCCAAGTCGCGCTTCATCGACCCATCATCTCTTCTTTACAAGGCCATCATGGGCGGGCATCAGCAAGGTCGCTGGGGCCCCCTTTCCTTCTTACCTTACACTGCTCCCCGTTGGCTCTGAAGCACTGCAACTTCCCAGGCGGCCTGATCCCAATTATATAAGTGGCACTTCAGCGCCAGCAGGGGCTGGGGGCGGTCTCGGTGTTGCACTCTGACGCTTGAATTTTTTCGGCGCGGTCGATGGCACACGAGTCTGCAGGTGGCGAGCTCATCCACATCACTGGCCTGACGCAGGCTTTTGTCGCATGGGCTTTTGGAAAGAAATATTGCGGCCACACACCAAGCTGCCAGACGATGACGCAAATGCGCCGCAGTTGTCACGTCATGCACATGTCGTATCTAGATTTGACCGGTCACTAAGCAACAACCACGTCGACTCTTTGACCGCGTGTGCTCAACAGTTCTAAGCTCAAACAGCTGCCAGACGCAATCAACTCCACAATTGTCAGTTTGTATTTCGCGATGGATGGGCTTAGGGGTCAGGGGAACGAGGTTGTAGGGTTCAAGCTTGCCTGCTCTCTCCACCTCCCGGCGCTTATGTCCACGCAGTTGGTCCTGCAAAGACATCGACAACGTTTTTTCCTAGCAATCTGGCCACAATCCTTCTCCGATTCGTTGTTCTGTTGCGAGCTCACGGCAGCACAGCCCAGAGCTGGAACGATCCCTGATCAACAACACGTGAAAACGCGGCTCTAGTATCAAAGTGTCATTGCAGATGTTCGTCATTGTTTCCTGCGTTCAACACATATTATGCGTATGTATGATATACATATCATACACATTTATGTGTCATATGTACGATATATATGTGTGTGTGTATATATCTATATCACATATCGTATATCATATATCGCATATCGTGTATTTTATATCATGCATCATCTGTCACATGTTATATGTTGTATGTTATATCAGCGCTCTTGTAGGCTACTGCTGACAGACAGCGAACACACAAGCAGGCAAAATCACTCACAATGCTATGTGTATGGTCTATGTGAATATATATATATATATAGAGAGAGAGAGAGCAGAAAGATACAAAAATGTCATAAATATGTATGTATATATATTTTTATATAAGCCCGCAACCTTTAAGGTCTACGTATTATGAGTTTTTCTTTGCTTTTTAAAAGACCTCTTATAAATATTGAATATAAATATAAGAATAATGTTTATTTATAAGTGGCTGAATCTTCTGCTAGCTTAGTGTTTATGTTTAGGATTTCTGATTTGGAGAATATGTGTTCCTTGTTGATTTTATGGAATGTTTTTCATTCATATGTCTAACAAGCCACAGAATTCTCTGCATCATTAAATTCGATAAATCAACTGACTTGGCTCTGTGAACTATCATTGGTTTCATATGCATTTTTTATGGATTTGATGGCGCTCTACTCATTCATAGGTGGCAGGTTGCTTACGGGTTTGACTCCACTCATTCATAGGTGGTACGAACAACAGAAATTCTCTACACCAAGAAATTCTATAAATAAAACGATTGGTTCTACAAACACTCATTGATTTCATATGTATTTGCTTATTGTTTTTATGATGTTCAGCTCATTCATATGTGGCAGGAGAGGCAGAATTCTCTACACCAAGAGATTCTATAAATAAAACGATTGGTTCTTCAAACACTCATTGATTTCATATGTGTTTGCTTATTGACTGTATGATGTTCGGCTCACTCATACACAGAATTCTGGTCACCAGGATACTCTATAAACAAAATGATTCGTTCTTCAAACACTCATGGATTTCGTATGCGTTTGCTTGTGGATTCGATGGCGCTCCGCTCTTTCATAGGTGGCACGAGCCGCAGAATCCTCTACACCAAGAGATTCTATACATAAGTTGACTTGGTTCTGTGAACACTCATTGATTTCATGCGCGTTAGCTTCTGGATGCGTCTAGATTTGACGCGCCCGGCACCTGAAGTCATGATGTGTGTCCGCAATGACCCTTTGCTCTCACACCGTTTTCTGCGTGTCGTCGAAGAGGGGTCGCTCCAGCTCCGATTGCGATGATGGGACAGGACATGGCAAGAGCAGCAGATGGTGGGAATGGGATGACTCTGACTGGGCTGCATGGAGACGTGCAAGGTGATGATTCGTCATGCTCAGCAGTACGTCCCGTGTCCAGAGCCTTCAGAGAACAGCATGCAAGGTTGCGCTGAGCACCCACAGGCTACTAGCATGTTTGTGCTTCAGCAGAGGCCCATTGCCAGGAACAGTTCTTTGCCGAATTCTTCCACAACCAATCTCTTTTCGCAGCCCTTTTGTAAAAAGAAAAAACAAAGACCCTTTTAGTTGGAACCAACGAAGATTCACTTTCTAGATGCGAGGTGTGTTTTCCAACAGCTTCGACAGCATTGCAGCCTGCGTCACAGACTGGCCCTGCCGCTCACCGCACTCGTTTCGCCGCACGCTTCCTAAACAAGCACCCAAAAAACATTTCCAGCTGAAGCCTGACCGTTTAGTTTTACAAACACAAGGGCAGCGCATGGTGTTGCCGTTCTTAACTCCAACCGGCTTTGTGGTCTGCAGGCGTCCTCGGCCATGGGCCTGACTCCCTATACGTCCATATACGCTCTTAGCTCTGGCAACCGCTAGACCATCAGGAACGCCTGCGCCCAGCCAGAAACCTACCCAACAAGTGCCCACCCTTAAGCCGAGCGACGACCCTATCCTTCGGCTCAAATCCGAGACCGCCTGGGTGGCACGGTGGCGAGCGACGTGCTAAGGCATCATGCGCGCGCAGGCCGAGAGGCCAAGGCTAATGTGATTTCACTCTTCCTCACTGTGGGGGGTTGTCGCCTTGTCACAGAATGGTTGAGAAATCGCTCATCTGCGCAATGTGCACAATAACACCTCAACCTCACAAGATGTTTGATGAGTACAAAGACCTTGTTTCGGAGGGTTGTCGCGGAACCGACCCTGTTGTTACAGGTTTTGTCGCGGGGGGCCCCAGGGGCCTGTTACAAGCCAAACATTTTGACCTCACAAACAGCTTGTCTGCGCCACCCACGTAAAGCATTGTGCAGACAATTGCTGCATGCACTCTTCTGCTCAGTGCACCTCTTACTCCCCCCACCGTGTTTCAATTTGTCTCTTGCTCCGAGGCCTCGGCCCCCTCGCGGAGCTGAGTGTACATATGTGTTATTTCTGCAAAGACATGCAAAGACCTTGAAACAGCGTGCCCCAATTTCACCATGCGCAATACACACATTCTAGGTTGTCGCTGGGTGTGATTAACCTCACCGCTTTCGAACGAAAGAAAGGTGTCCTCCGCCATCTCCACCGCGGAGATTGATATCAAGTGGTAAACGTCTACCCTCGCAGGCTCCTGCATCGGGCATCAAGTGTGCCACACATTGCCATACTGAGTCATAGATGCTGTGTAATATGCTGTTGCTGGGCGCCATGCCTCGGCTTCTCCACCGAACGGAGCGTTTCAACGTCGATGACCTAGATTGATCTCAACAGAGAACGACTGAAACGACCCTACGAAGCCTCAGCACTGAGGCTCCTGCTACTGGATTGTCCTGGAAAGCTCAGGCACCCTAAATGCAGGTTGGGGCGCAGGGGCCATGCTGCCGAACATGTCCGATTTTACTTCATACCATGTATACCATGTATATGTATATGTATATGTATATGCATATGTATACGTATATGTATATTTATACGTATACGTATATGCATATGCATATATGTATATGTATATGCATATGTACATGTACATGTACATGTATATTTTGTGTATATGCGTGTATATATGCATCTTATCCATGGTTCAGGGTTCGATGGCTTCGAACGTGCAAATGTGGTTGCTGGACGGCATGCCATAGAGGGCGCGTGCAACTAGACGTGCTGCCAAGGTCAGCGAGCACATTCTGGTGGGGCTGGTCTACGAAAAAAGGATGAACGACGAACTACCCTCGGTTGCAAAGCCCGGGCAACGCGGGAATCGCCGTAGCTGGGCTTATAAGAATCCCGGGCCTCTAGATCTTGGCAATCATCAACTATGTATTTTGTCGATATGTTGTCGTTGTGGTGTCATTTCGCCGTCGTTTGTGTTTTTGTCGTTTTCTTGTCACTGCTTTGTCGTTTCTTTTCTGCTTGTCATTTGTTTGCCTTTTCTGTGCCATGGCTTCTACTGTTCTTTGTCAGGCTTGAACTTGGTTTGTAGCCTCGCTGCTTGGGCGATGAAGGCCCCTCAAAGACACCTCTATCGGCGTCAAGCGTTGTCCCTTCGCTCCGGCGCGGATGGCAGCATTCAAGCTCACCGCGTCGGCAGCAACCTCCGGGTGGTTACCCACGCTGCACAGCATCTGAAGTGCTCGGGGCCACGGCTTGGCCCGAGAAACAGCACCCGACAACGCATGGAAGTGAAACACATTCGTCTGTATGGAAGCTGCCAAAAGCAGTTGAAGAATTTGGGAGGCCTCCACCCATCCAGCACTCAAGAAGCGAAGGGCTCCACACGGGTTCCGCTGCCAATCTTGAAGCTTCAGCGACCGCAGGGGCTCCGCGTGCGCCGCTTGGTCTGCGTTGCAGCACTTGAGCTTCATTCAAGCTTGGCGCAAGCATTGCAAGCATTCCTGAACGTCGATCTCTGCAGCTCAAATCTCCAGCACGCCAACCCATCGGCTCGAAGGAGACAAGCAAATGGACGACTGGCTTTGGGGATGGCTGCCTCGGAGCTATCTTTGGGAACACTCCAAATCCTGCGCGCCTGTAAAACACCTGAAGCCAGAAACCGTGTGGCTGGGACGCTATTCTGACCCAACTTGCGGGCACGGTTACAGGTCAGAGCGAAATTACCCTCGATGTAGACGCGCTAGCACTGTGGCCACGGCAATCGAAAACAGGAGCCCGGATTGCAACAACTGCAACAACGGTTTGTGCCCCGAAGCCCCATGGTGAACTGATGCTGACAGATGAGAAACAAGATGAGCACCGGGCCTGCAAGAACGTCAGGAGACTCTCCGTAGCACCGGCCATGCTTGCCAGAGCTGCGGGCGTCTCGCCCACCCTCGGTGCAAACTGTGTTGCCCACATGCAGTGTCATAAACCAAAAAACCCGGCAACTGCTTCAAGGTGCAATTTGCAAGCACACGTCATGTTCTAGAAGGCTGCAACCACCTCTGACCTCCAAGGCTACAACTTATCTTGCGCATTGATGTCAGCACCGTAGCTGCACAGCAGAAGCACTGTTTTGGCCTTGCCAGACTGGATTGATTGCTTGCTGCCAGCAAAGGCATCTTCCACATTCACTCTTAAACTCTGCCAGGAGAATATTGAAATACTGCTTGAAAATCCCCCCCCACCTGCCCACCCACACCCACCAAGCACCCCTCCCTCTCCCACGTGATTTTTCCTTAGGTCGGTCCTGGCTTGTTTTGCTTGCTCACGTTGCCACCCTTCCTAGAGCAAACTGCGATGAAATGCGTCTGTTTGCGGGCTTCTGCTTCTAAAATCGCCTTTGAAAGTAACTTTCCATGCCTCAGGAATGGTGAGGTGTGGGGTAAGCGCCCCCTCCACTCTTACCGCCCGCTCCCCCCACCCCACTCATGGCTCCCTTGGCCCATGGCTCCCATGAACCCATGGCTCTGGCCCCATAATCTGGAAGCTCTGAGCCTCAGAATCCATTGTCCCATGGCTCCGGTCCACCACCCCCCCCACCCCCACCCCCCCCCCCGCTTGGCTTAGGGTTTAGGGTTTAGGGTTTAGGGTTTAGGGTTTAGGGTTTAGGGTTTAGGGTTTAGGGTTTAGGGTTTAGGGTTTAGGGTTTAGGGTTTAGGGTTTAGGGTTTAGGGTTTAGGGTTTAGGGTCTAGGGTCTAGGGTTTAGGGTTTACTGTAGGATTTTAGGGTTTACTGTAGGGTTTCTAGGGTTTGCGGTTTAGGGTTTAGGGTTGAGGGTTTAGGGTTTAGGGTTTAGGGTTTAGTGTTTAGGGACTAAGGACTGTTACAGGGCTTGAACGGCGGCCGCAGGTGCTGAATATTCTTCTGGCGCCAATGCCAAGTGGCCAAGGAGGCGCGCCGGCTTTCTTAGGAGGAGGCTTCGGGATCACAGCCTCCAGCAATACAATCGGCAAAGCTGAACTAAGTGCAAGAAGTCTGGCCGGAAAACACACCACCGCATACAATCTCCACGCGATAGAGTAGGAGAACTAATTGGCCTCCTCGGCCTCTGGCCGAGAGGCGTTCAGAACAAGCAGACACGGATCCGGTCTCCTTCCCCCTACGACTGGCTTAAAACCAGATCTGCGTCTTTTCAACCCCTGGACCCCCCTGATGGGACCCATGGACTTCCCCCCAACCCCCCCCCCCCCCCCCCCGCCGGAAAGCCCCCAACTCCAATTCCTGGACAAACCCCCCCTTCCCTAAAAGCTAGATGGAGGTTTTTGGCGATTTGGTTGGGATCTGCTCTGGCTTGTTTTTGGAATTTCCTGGGCCTTGCGACGTGGGCCGGGCCGGCTGCCGAGGCGGCGCGCGCAAGCGTTTACAATTAGTCCTTGCTTCCAGACTTCCTCCTCTCGCCCTTCCTTCATTCCATCCCTCCTGTTGTCGATTCTTTCTGGATCTACCCTGCGACTTTCTTGTCTCCTTCTGTACCCTTCCACTCTTCTCATGTATCCTTCCGTCCTTCCTCCCTTTCCCTCTTTTTCAAGGCAGCGCGCCCACAAGAAAAGAAAGGCTCTTCCGGAAAGCAGCATTTTCAGATGCTTCAACCTCTTCTGGCCGAAGCCTCGTTCTTCTGATTACTGCTACGAGTATTGTTATTGTTGTTCTTGTTGTTGTTGTCCGTTCTTGAGATTATTGTCCCCCCACCTCCCCCCTGACATGCCCTCCGCTTGTACCCACGCAATTGTGCGGGCGTGCCCAGTTGTGGGCGACAGCCCCCTTCAGATAGGCGTACTGAACACCGCAGGCGTTGTCAAGCTTTGGACATTAGAGCCGCGGCTTGCTTGCATGTCTTCATGCTGCAGGCTGCTCAATGTCAGACCTCGCGGACATCACACTCTTCCAGCGCGGCTGTGGCTGCGGCGCTGTGAAGGGGATCATCCTTTGCTTGTGTTTCCTGCGCATCCACAGTGCGACACTGCTGCAAGTGATGCGTAGCAATGCACAGCAATAAATAGCTTCAACTCTAGCCACCAAGCTTCTGTAAATTTCTGGACACCTCTTAAGGCCTGTCTTGCTTACAAAGGTTTTCTGGGTTTGGTGGTTTCGCTTTCCAGGGCTTACTGGAGCCGTGGCAGAATTCTCCACTTCTGTTATGCTTCAAGTGTCTAGGGTCTCTTTGGATCTGGGTTCATCCACTGCTTACCAGAGCCTTTCTTCGACTCCGAGTTTCGAGCATCCCATTTGAGCCATGGTTTAATTTAACGAATAGAATTCTGAAGCCCTTCCACGGAACCCTTCCGCGACATTTACATTCAGACATATGAGATTTGGAAGGCTTTAGGTCAAGAAATCAGGTCTGCAAGACACGCTGCTGCGCAAGTCTACTGATCCAGATTCGAGCAGCAAGCAGACCGTCCACGGAGCTTCTGCAGATTTCCCGCATCCCCTTGAAGATATTTCCAGATCGCTCCCCCCACTTCCGGCTGGAGCTATTGCGGGAGGGGATCTTTGGAGCTCTCCGTGGGCTTTTTATTTAAAACTCCGTGAGCGGGGCGGGAACGCTACTTTTTTGTTGCTGCTTCAATGTTACGAGTCATGAGTTATAAAACAGTGATTCTGCTGGACTGTAGAAATAGACGCTTTTGTTGAGGTACCTCTTGCGGCTTGTAAACTGTGTTGCTTCTCGAGTCTTGAGCGCTTTTCGAGATGCCGGACACTTTCCTTCCCCCGTCCCTCCCCGCCCAAGGCCCACGACACTTCCACCACCCAAGCCCCACGACCTTCCTCTTCTTCTTGCATTGCAGCCCGATGAGCGCTACACAGAGAAAATGATCATACATGATCATACCATACAGTGGCTTTCACCCTCACTTGTCCCTTTCCCCTTTCCCCAGTTCGCCGGATTTCCCACCACACCTCCCACCACATCCCCGCGCAGCCGCAGCCACAGCCTGCTACACCCTGACTGACACCTCTTTTCTTCCCAAAAACGGTGTTCCATTTGTGGGATCCTGGAAACGTCCAAAACGGAAACATCCAAAACTCAACTCACTACTCTAGGATGCTTTATAAGCGCAGATCCAGTGGAGAGTTTCACCCGCTTTCCGCAGCATTGCTTGCGCGCAACTTCCGCTTTTTGCGAACCGAGGCCATGCTCTTCGAGGTTTCTGACGCTCGAAACATGGTTGCAAGCAAACCTGGAATCTCTAAGCGTACTTTGTCGGCATTGTTACTTCTGAGGTTTCTATGCCAACAGAAGATTGGCATGGAGTTTAGCAGAAAGACCTTCGGCTCAGAGCCTGTTCAGGTAAAGGGCGACCAGCCCTATCCTTCACCGGACTAGGAAGGAGCCTGCTACAGGAATTTCTGAGGGTATCAGAGGAATTCGTGACAGGCCTTCCACAAGCTGCCCTCCTTTAAGCGGAGCTTCCGCTAGGTACAAAGACACCTTGGAGGATCTCAAAGGCGTGCTGGGCGAGGAAGGGGCCGACAAGATCCAGGCACCGTTCTTCCAAGAACCATGGGGTCATGCGAATGGCCAACCTCTTCCGGTCCTCTTGAAGGATCTCCTGCACTGTTGCATGAAGCTCTACTTCGGAGTGGGGACGCACCGCAGGAGATGTGTGTTCAACTTCGCTATGCCGCCTGGGGAGCCGAAGCGAGGCCTTGGAGCGGGGTGTTCGGCATCCTCGGCACGCAAGCTCACAGCTACATCCCACAAACCAAGATCAAAGAACAGCAGGGCAATAGAAGAAAGTAGGCGCCCGCCTCCTTTTTAGCCGAAGTTTTCGTTGAGCGTTTGGCTGTGTGAAACAGAACTCAGCAGTAGCGGAGCCTCATGATCTCTCTCTGCAAACGCTTGTTGGCAAGCTGTGAGAAAGCCTTCAGTTGCTGATCTGCTTCTGCATAGCTTCGTCTGGGATCGTCATCAGCTCGCCACAGGATCTTCAGATCAGAAATCAGTCTCTCCTGGAATTGGTGCTCAATTTCCTCGTCGATTTGGAGGGCTCTGACCAGCAGGGACACCCACTTCTGACGCTGAGGCTTTGTCAATCCGCGCACAACGATAGCAATGTGCTCTGCACACCGCATTGCCCGCTGCAAGGCCTCTTTGCTGATGTCGGCGGACTCCGGCAGCAGGTCTTCCATCTGGCCAAGCATGGCTTCGGCAATCGTTTGCTGCACGAAAGGCAGGCCACCAAACCCATAGTCTGCAACAAGACGGTGCGCGTGCTCCCTCACAGATAAATCCACGTCGCGGCAGTGCAAGAAGATAGATTGAAGGTTCGCGCTGACAATGTCGTTGACATCACTCTCTGGGAAATGAGTTTTGTCCGCGTTGGCCAGCCTCATACACCACCAGCGGCCTGGGAAGCAAAATGCTTTCGGCGATTTGACTTGCTTTCCGTGCATCATGCATGTAAAACGGCCAAGAGACACTCGAAGAACTTCCGCTCGCTGCTCTCTGCCACTTCGCTGTCGAAGCCGCGGGGATCTTCACAAGCCCATGTCCAGTGGCGAGAAAAATCGACAATTGACTGGGTCCTGCGCGCTGTAACTCATGCGCACGACTCCTTGTGTGCTGCCCACCTACCAAACCGCGCCTGTCCAACCTGCCCATTTCGAAAAGGTGCTGTATCAAGACCTCAGGTTGCACAACAACGCACTTCCTGCTTCTATGGAAAACTGCACAAAGCTCCCTGCGCTGGGACTTCTGGTCTGGCAGGAAGTCACTCGCCACTCCATGAGGTCATCCACCTTCGGGCAGGTGCAGGTGCCCCCTTCGGGTTCTCCCACGTCGCCGAAAGCCGCTACTCACCTACTCTTGCAGACAGGGCGCAGTAAGGTGCGGCAAGAGATTGAGCCTCGAGACTTGCTCGAGGAGACCACTGCATGTGTTCCTGCTCAACTCTATGCTGGATGCCAAGTTGCAACACTTCCTGCGGAAGCTCGAACGGGTCAAAGACCTGGACATCACCCAAACTGAAAAATCGTTTCAGTGGCCAACCAGCTGGTGTCTGGGCTTCCAAGCATCCGAAAAGGCTGGGCGTTCACCGACATTCTTCCGGCCCCTCAGGTCATCAACTAACCCAGTCTCCAACTCCAAGACCTCGCTCGAAGCATTGCCGTGGCTGAGCGGGAGGCCTTTTGGTGTGCGGAATCTGCCTCGGACGTTAGACGCATGCCAAAGCCATGAGGTGAGACGGCTAGAATAAACTCAAGTGGCTGCAGACCAAAGCTTGCGTTTGACGGCGACGTTATAGAAGTTCTAACCAATGACCTCAGGCCAAGAATGTCACAGGTCACATGGGCAGAGTAAAATCGCACCGTAAGCTCTGAGAACAGCGCTCATCGTTCTCCGTGGCAATGCCCAGCAAGGCAGCATGCGGCAATGATGGCGGCTGTGGATGCTCACTGCAATCTGAAATATCGTCGCACCTTACGGCAAATCTCAAATAGCGGAAGGAGGCGGAGGCGACAAATGGTGCAAAACAAAGATCTTTGCAACTCGGCGGCTGCTCGTCCAGGGAAAACTCCGCTGAGCCCGAGCGGGTGGAATTGGAGCCAAAGCTCTTGCACCGTGGCTCATTTGGCTCAGCCTTCCGCAAGCGGCATTCCAGGTTTGGAGCGGGTGTGCTGCCGACTGATCGACTTAAGGGAAGTACTGCGAGGAGTGCTAGCCGGTAGCTTTAGCAGTTGCATAGCTCACAGTGACCTCGACAGCGCGTGGAGGGGCTGCCATGGTCAGGGGCTCGTCTTTGGCAGACCTGGGCTGCAGGCACTGCAACCACCCCTTCGCCTGACACGGAGAACCTAGTGAGTCGCGAAAGCTGAGCCTACTAGCACGGGACAGCTCGTAGACTTAAGACAAGTGTCTGCAAGGGTTCCGGAGATTCGTTCTCGCTCTCCTCCTGGCAGCCAGAAGCCAAACTGAAAGTCGTGTCCTTGCCGGCCCGCTGGTCCCTGGCCTTCCAGGCAGTCAAACGAGTTGGGTGATGTAGTGACCTCAGGCCAAACGCCGCTGCAGCTGCCCCGCAATCATGTCTAAGCCCAAGGATCATCAAGAGGCATTAATCCACATCGTAAGCCCCGAGGACGGTGCTCGTGCGGAAAATCTGAATTGTCGCCGCACCTTACTGCAAATCTCAAGTAGCGGAAGGAGGCGGAGGCGACAAACGGTGCAACAGAAATATCTTTGCAACTCGGCGGCAGCTCTTCCAAGGAATCCTCCGATGAGCCCGACCGGGTGGAATCAGAGCCAAAGCTCTTGCGCTTTAGCCTTCTGCTGCAATGGCTTTGGCAATGCAGCAAAACTCCAGGCTAGCAAGCAACTGAAGCAAACTGCCTCGATGAGGCATCGCCTGCCACATCCAACTGCTCGCAGAGCTCCAGCGCGAGTTTCTCCACGAACAGGAGCTGGAGATGGTGTGGGAACTGCCTCGAACACAAGCTGAACCATCAAGGCATCACGGTCTTGAACGTCTTGCAAAGCATCGCTCACACACACGCCAGGGCACGCCCAGGTTTCAAGCTGTCGTAGAACGCTGGAGCGATGGAACGTCTCCGGCGACGTTTTGCACATCTTTCGGAAAAGGATGCTTTGCTAGGACTGAAGGTGACAGCATGGACATGGGGTATCATTGGACGGTCGTGCAAACGTACCATGCGCACATGGGCAGATCTGACCAGCGAGAGCTATGTATGCTGCATAAGCCAGCTGCGGCCGTCAACATGCTAAGGCATCTATCTCTACACTGCGAAAAACAAGAGCGGCACTGAGAAAAGCTCCTTCCCGCGCTGGCACGGGCTTGTACACCGTCAAGGAAGCTTTCAGATGGATGTCCTACACCTACACTGCACCATCTTGCATGCTTTGCGTGCTGGGGATTCAGGAGCTCGTGCCATGTGCCATCACAGCCGCTGTGTGCCACAAGGGCTCTGGCAAACCCGAGCCAAACATGTCGGTATGCACAGCAGTGAACAGGCCGAAAGCATGTTTCTTGTCAAGGTCAGTTCGTGCTTGATGTCGCATTTGAAAGATGTCTCGGTGTTCAGGGCTGCAGGATGATTTGCAGCAAAACTCGCGAGTGACCAGCGTGGAGAAGTGGAACTAATTGAGATACCAAATAGCAGATCCGATGTAGAAGGCGAACTGTGTGAGATGCCTTTTGTGTATACAATGCATGCTGGCAAGCTGGAAGGTGTGGGGCTGGTGAACATCGAAAAAGCAAACTTCCGGCTAAGCCCGGTTTACAAAGCCTCAACCCCCAAAACCAAGATGAGAGCAATGGATGGAGTTCTGAGGTTTTTAGAGGTGTAGGCACTTGCTTTTAGCATGCATATTCTGTCATACGTGTAAACAAACAAATAGTTTCATAAGTCGTTATAAAGATGGAGGGGCGAAGCCCCTCCTACAACATTTTCTGCTCTAGAGAGTCCCGAGTCTACAAACGGGTAATTCCACTCCCCTGCTGTGAGCGGAGTTGCCTCTACGCAGAGGCAGGCTTCAGAGGCAGGGATGCCTTTTTCTCTGCATTCTCTATGCCCTGCATGTAAGGAAGGTTCCCCTCCCTCTTCGAATGTTGTAGGGTTTATACGCTGCCAAGGAAAAAGTTCCCTCGTCATGCACAGGCATGCAAAATTTTGCCGCGCAGAGAAAGCACAAAAACAAGCGAATGATCCCACCTGGAAGGTCGAAAGCCGCGCTGAAATGAAAAAAGGAATTGGTTTACATTTCGAAGGGAACCCACATGGAGTTCCAGTTCTCGGACATGGAAGGTGGAAGCTCACTGGCACTCCACCCATAGACGATGGAGTCTCACTCTGCTCCCACTACATGGAGAGTGGGGAGGGAGTGAGTGGGTCATTCATTGCTCAGTGGAGTTCGCGCTGACGAAAACCCCCCCTTCTCCATTTCCCAACATCGAAACCTAACGATAATGAAAGAGATTGAACAAGAGCCCATAGGGTTCAATCGAAAACAAGCTCAGGCACCACCCGAATGACAAGTTTCGATTCGTGACGAATCCTCAAAATAAAAAATCGCCAGCCTTGGTTCCGAAGCGTTTGTCGGCGCAAGGCGCAAGCTGTCTTCTCACATGACTGGTCTCAGCCAATAGTTTCGCAAAGTCCCCCAAAGATGCTGGAAGAAATGCTTTCCCAGAGGACAAATCGCAAGTTCCGACTCCGAGATCACTGAAAGAAGTGAACTTCACACAAGACATCGCAAGCGCGACTCACTTTTGAAGCACGAAGCTCCGAATTCAGGAGCTTCGGGAATTTCGGCGAAGTCCGAAGCTCGAGTTGTCATTTCTTCTTGCAAACCAAATCGAGCGCCCCCTCAAAAGATGTTGGAAAGTTTTTCCGACACGACAGTTCGCAAGCACTGCCCTTCGACGCTCTTTTGCTTTCTTGGAATCTCTCCGCCGCCACGTCGACTTCGAGGATGCCACGGGGACGCCCCCGTCTCGGACTGGCCTCATTTGTCTTCTCCCTCCTTCTCTTTCTGCCCCACTTTCTCTGTCCCCCTCCCCCTGGAGAGGGGGAGAGAGGGAGGAAGAGAGGGAGGGAGAGAGGGAGAGAGAGAGAGAGAGAGAGAGAGAGAGAGAGAGAGAGAGAGAGAGAGAGAGAGAGAGAGAGAGAGAGAGAGAGATAAAAAAAAGAAAGAGACAGCGGTGTGAAGTACGACCCGGCAAAAATCAGTCAAACCAAGTGCGACTCTAGCTTCCAAAGTTTCTCGAACATCGACACGTAGATACAACACCGTCTGGCTTTGCCCCTATCCTGTTTGCAGCGCTTGCTGTGTGGCTGCCGTCTGGCTTTGCCCCTATCCTGTTTGCAGCGCTTGCTGTGTGGCTGCCGTCTGGCTTTGCCCCTGTCCTGTTTGCAGCGCTTGCTGTGTGGCTGCCGTCTGGCTTTGCCCCTATCCTGTTTGCAGCGCTTGCCGTGTGGCTGCCGTCTGGCTTTGCCCCTATCCTGTTTGCGGCGCTTGCTGTGTGGCTGCCGTCTGGCTTTGCCTCTATCCTGTTTGCAGCGCTTGCCGTGTGGCTGCCGTCTGGCTTTGCCCCTATCCTGTTTGCAGCGCTTGCTGTGTGGCTGCCGTCTGGCTTTGCCCCAATCCTGTTTGCAGCGCTTGCTGTGTGGCTGCCGTCTGGCTTTGCCCCTATCCTGTTTGCAGCGCTTGCCGTGTGGCTGCCGTCTGGCTTTGCCCCTATCCTGTTTGCAGCGCTTGCCGTGTGGCTGCCGTCTGGCTTTGCCCCTATCCTGTTTGCAGCGCTTGCCGTGTGGCTGCCCCTAACCTGTTTGCCGCGCTTGCTGTGCGGCTGCCGTCTGGCTTTGCCCCTATCCTGTTTGCAGCGCTTGCTGTGTGGCTGCCGTCTGGCTTTGCCCCTATCCTGTTTGCAGCGCTTGCTGTGTGGCTGCCGTCTGGCTTTGCCCCTATCCTGTTTGCAGCGCTTGCTGTGTGGCTGCCGTCTGGCTTTGCCCCTATCCTGTTTGCAGCGCTTGCTGTGTGGCTTCCGTCTGGCTTTGCCCCTATCCTGTTTGCAGCGCTTGCCGCGTGGCTGCCGTCTGGCTTTGCGGCTTTGCCCCTATCTTGTTTGCAGCGCTTGCTGCGTGGCTGCCGTCTGGCTTTGCCCCTATCCTGTTTGCAGCGCTTGCCGTGTTGTGGCTGCCGTCTGGCTTTGCCCCTATCCTGTTTGCAGCGCTTGCTGTGTGGCTGCCGTCTGGCTTTGCCCCTATCCTGTTTGCAGCGCTTGCCGTGTGGCTGCCGTCTGGCTTTGCCCCTATCCTGTTTGCAGCACTTGCTGTGTGGCTGCCGTCTGGCTTTGCCCCTATCCTGTTTGCAGCGCTTGCCGCGTGGCTGCCGCCCCTATCCTGTTTGCAGCGCTTGCTGTGTGGCTGCCGTCTGGCTTTGCCCCTATCCTGTTTGCAGCGCTTGCCGTGTGGCTGCCGTCTGGCTTTGCCCCTATCCTGTTTGCAGCGCTTGCTGTGTGGCTTCCGTCTGGCTTTGCCCCTATCCTGTTTGCAGCGCTTGCCGCGTGGCTGCCGTCTGGCTTTGCGGCTTTGCCCCTATCCTGTTTGCAGCGCTTGCTGTGTGGCTGCCGTCTGGCTTTGCCCCTATCCTGTTTGCAGCGCTTGCCGTGTGGCTGCCGGCTGGCTTTGCCCCTATCCTGTTTGCAGCACTTGCTGTGTGGCTGCCGTCTGGCTTTGCCCCTATCCTGTTTGCAGCGCTTGCCGTGTGGCTGCCGTCTGGCTTTGCCCCTATCCTGTTTGCAGTGCTTGCTGTGTGGCTGCCGTCTGGCTTTGCCCCTATCCTGTTTGCAGCACTTGCTGTGTGGCTGCCGTCTGGCTTTGCCCCTATCCTGTTTGCAGCGCTTGCTGTGTGGCTGCCGTCTGGCTTTGCCCCTATCCTGTTTGCAGCGCTTGCCGTGTGGCTGCCGTCTGGCTTTGCCCCTATCCTGTTTGCAGCACTTGCTGTGTGGCTGCCGTCTGGCTTTGCCCCTAGCCTGTTTGCAGCGCTTGTCGTGTGGCTGCCGTCTGGCTTTGCCCCTATCCTGTTTGCAGCGCTTGCCGTGTGGCTGCCGTCTGGCTTTGCCCCTATCCTGTTTGCAGCACTTGCTGTGTGGCTGCCGTCTGGCTTTGCCCCTATCCTGTTTGCAGCACTTGCTGCGTGGCTGCCGTCTGGCTTTGCCCCTATCCTGTTTGCAGCGCTTGCTGTGTGGCTGCCGTCTGGCTTTGCCCCTATCCTGTTTGCAGCACTTGCTGTGTGGCTGCCGTCTGACTTTGCCCCTATCCTGTTTGCAGCGCTTGCTGTGTGGCTGCCGTCTGGCTTTGCCCCTATCCTGTTTGCAGCGCTTGCTGCGTGGCTTCCGTCTGGCTTTGCCCCTATCCTGTTTGCAGCGCTTGCTGCGTGGCTGCCGTCTGGCTTTGCCCCTATCCTGTTTGCAGCGCTTGCTGTGTGGCTGCCGTCTGGCTTTGCCCCTATCCTGTTTGAAGCGCTTGCTGCGCGGCTGCCGTCTGGCTTTGCCCCTATCCTGTTTGCAACGCTTGCTGCGTAGCTTGTAGCGGCTGGGCTGGGCAAATCTCAGCTTGCTCAGCTTGTAGCGGCTGGGCAAATCTCAGCTTGCTCAGCTTGTAGCGGCTGGGCAAATCTCAGCTTGCTCAGCTTGTAGCGGCTGGGCAAATCTCAGCCTGCTCAGCTTGTAGCGGCTGGGCAAATCTCAGCTTGCTCAGCTTGTAGCGGCTGGGCAAATCTCAGCTTGCTCAGCTTGTAGCGGCTGGGCAAATCTCAGCTTGCTCAGCTTGTAGCGGCTGGTAGCTTACTCAGCTTGTAGCGGCTGGGCAAATCTCAGCTTGCTCAGCTTGTAGCGGCTGGGCAAATCTCAGCTTACTCAGCTTGTAGCGGCTGGGCAAATCTCAGCTTACTCAGCTTAGCGGCTGGGCAAATCTCAGCTTACTCAGCTTGTAGCGGCTGGGCAAATCTCAGCTTGCTCAGCTTGTAGCGGCTGGGCAAATCTCAGCTTACTCAGCTTGCTTACTCAGCTTGTAGCGGCTGGGCAAATCTCAGCTTACTCAGCTTGT